GGCACAACTTATTGTTAATGGAGGTTTGTCGGAGGTTTTTACAATAGAGAAAGGTACTAGACAGGGGTGCCCTTTATCGCCATTGTTGTTTGTTTTAACATTGGAAATATTATTGATTAAAATTCGAGAGTCTCAGGAAATTAAAGGAATAGAAGTTAACAAAAAAGAATATAAGTTGAGAGCTTTTGCGGATGACTTGGTTGTTACTTTGTCGCAACCTGATTATTCTGTAGTAAACTTATTACAGTTGATTCATCATTATGGTTTGGTTTCGGGTTTCAAGATTAATGTAAATAAGACTAAAATCTTACCTAAAAATATGTCTAGTCAGGAGAAGCAGATTTTGGCTAACTTGACGGGTTTTGAGATTGTTAATAAGGTAAAATATTTGGGGGTGATGTTGTCTGTTTCTAATGTAAAATTATTTAAAAATAATTATGAAAGGTTGTGGGTCAGGGTACAGAAGGACTTGAAGAATTGGGAGAAGTTGCAATTATCCCTCATGGGAAGAATTGCAGTGATAAAAATGAATATTCTACCCAAGTTTCTTTTTCTGTTTCAAATGTTACCGATTTTGAAAAATGAGATTAACTTAAGTGAGTGGCAGAAGGGTCTTAATAAATTTATTTGGGCAGGGAAAAAGCCAAGGGTTAAGTTTAAAATTATGCAAGACTTCCGTGAGAGGGGTGGACTCAAGGTACCAAATTTGAAATTATATTACGATGCGGTGGTTTTAACACTAATTAGTGATTGGGTAAATTTGACAAATCCTGAGATACTTCATTTAGAGGGATGGGATTTACTTTATGGGTGGCATGCCTATTTAATATTTAATAAAAAAATGGATTGGGTCTTTAAATCTCATATTTTAAGAATCTCTTTACTTAGGACTTGGAGAAAATATTATAAAAGTGATTTTAAAGTTCCATTATGGGCCATACCTTGGCATGCGATAGAAGGAATAAAAAGAGGTGTAAAAATGGATATGGTGTCTTATAGTCAGCTACTTAGATGGGATGGGCAAAACTGGCAGTTAAGATTACGGGAAGATTTAGCGCAAGAAAATATTATTTATTCTTGGTTCCAATATAGGCAACTAGTAGATAAATGGAAGGTGGATTGTAAATTGGGTTTTCTTAGAGAAGATGGAAATCTTATTAAGCAAGTCAAGGATCAAAGACAAACCCACATCAAGAGAATCTACGGGGTATTAGTTGAAATGGACTCAGAAACGGAATTAATTAAAGACTGCATGATTAGATGGGCGCAGAATTTTGGTGTCCCAGTCTCATTGGACATCTGGGAAACCATTTGGGTGAGAAATGTCAAATTTACACAAGCACAGAACCTTAGGGAGAATTTTTATAAAATGTTTTATAGATGGCACCTTGATCCACAAAAAATGTCTCTTATGTACCCTGACGTACAACCTAAATGTTGGAGATGTGGTTATACGGATGCTTCCTATTATCATATTTGGTGGTCATGCAGAGAGATAAAAGCATTTTGGATCAAAATATGGTGGAATATCCAGAGAATTTTTAGAAGGAGGGTAAAATTTACTCCGCAATTATTTTTGTTGGGCATTGTTACAGATTGCGATACAAAGGAGGTTGTATTGATGTTAAATTTGATTACAGCCGCGAGGCTGTTAGTTGGACAATACTGGAAGAAGGAATCTTTGCCTACACTGCAGGAATGGTTTCTTAAAGTGTCCTATTTGGCGGAAATGGCAAAGATTTCAGCTTTCTTAAAGCAACAAACGCAAGAGAAGTTTCTTGCCGTTTGGGACAAATGGATAAAATTTATACAATTTAGACTGGGTATAAAAAAATATCACATAGTTTTTTCATAAGTTTTATTTTTATATATAGAGAATGTTATATATAGATATTTTTTTATATATATATATAAATATAAATTTTTTAATTTAATTTTTATCTTTATTTGTTAATTTTTAACTAAGCCTATATTCTGCTCTGGGAAGCTCAGGGGGGGGAAGGGAGGGTGTTTGTGAGGGGTGGGGGATGGGTTTTTTTTTTTATATGTAATGTTTAGTTTTTTATTTTTTTTTTGTATATGTTGTTTTTTGTTTTGTATTGTTTTTGTTTTTTTGTAAAATTTATAAAACTTTCAATAAAAAAAAAAAGCATACCCATTCAATAGGCCCTCTTTTAGAAACTCCCTCTTTCTCACTGATGGCTAAAGTCTGTCATTCACAGGATTCTCATGAAGAAGGGGAAGACACCATAGATGATATTAGCAGCCTAGAATTGTTCTGGAACTCCACTCTTTAATTCAAAGACGTATTCATTTGAGCCTGTTCATGAATCACTGCCTCATTCTGAAAAGGGGACTTGTGCAGCTCAATGAAGCTATGAGCTATGCCGTTCAGGGCCATCCAAGATGGACAAGTCATAGTGGAGATTTCTAACAAACCCCATTCCACTGGAGCAGGAAATAGCAACCTCTCCAATATCCTTGCCAAGAAAATCCCGTGACCCGTGTCCAATGGCTAAATGATATGATGCCAGAAGATGAACATCTCAGGTGTCCAATATGCTACTGGGTAAAAGCCCAGGGCAATTACAAGTAACTCTAGAAAGAGTGAAATGGATGGGCCAAAGCCAAAAGGATACTCAGCTGTAGAGGTGTCTGATGGTGAAAGCAAAGTCTGATGCTGTAAAGAACAATATTGCATACATGCCTGAAATGTAAGATATATTAATCAAGGTTACTGTGATGAAACATGAGATGGCAAGATTGAACATCGACATCATGGGAATCAGTTTACTAAAGTGGCAGGTAATGGGCGAATTTAATGCAGATGAATAATTAGAAGAAATTGAGTAGCCTTCACAGTCAATAAAAGAGTGGGAAAAGCAGTACTTGGGTACAGTCTCCAGCCTAGCAAACTCAAGAAGAGCCCCTTGGATTTCTGGAAACACCTTGATGGCTTGGAGGGCAAAATACTGGGAAATACTAGGGAGGAGGAGTTTTCATCTGCTTCCTGTCAACAAATTTTCCACGTTCTGCAACTCTTTGCCCTCTGAATATAGGACCTTTCTCCTGGGAATCTAGACAACATTCCACCACATGCGGAGAACTTTGATATATACCTTAAAATGAACAATTGGTATTTTCAGGTTTTGATGGAGATTCAGGGGATAATTTGATAAGGTATGTGCTCTCAGCTGAAGGATTATGAGGCCCCCAAGAAAGTGTCTGCACTAACATCCTAATGAAAAAATGCTAGGAGGCTAGCCTTTGCAGAGGGGAAGGATCTCTACCCTCTACATCTGCTTTTGATAAAAGAGGAATAACTCAGGGCAAACCCATTGGCAGGCCAGCTGGCAGGCTACTTAGAGCCTCAACGTAGCCACTCTTGATAGAAGGTCCATGGTTAGTTTTGATCTTTGGCCCCTTCAATCTCTCCCAAGGGTTGAGAAGAGGAGGTCGTGTCTCTATACTATTTTAGGATTCATCAGAAGCAGCTCTATGCTTGGAGAAAACAAGCAGCCTAAGGGCTTCGAAGCAGGAAATGTGTCCAGATCCATCAAGGTTGCAGCACCTCATAGGGTGAAGACCCCTGCCTATTCACAAGGGGCTTGTAGAGTAGAAAAAATTGACAGGCTGACTGGCTCATCTCAGAAACGGGAGGCTGAGCTAGCTTAACCCATCTCACCTTCTTCAATCTCACAAGATTGAAAGGATAAGAAAAAAAAAGAGAACTCTTCTGATGGAGATATAACTCCGATTTCAGAAGTAGGTTTAGATACAGGGCTGATGGAGACCATGCATCAAATCCTTGTGGGGGAGGGGAGAAATTGTGTTATATATCCTTGTAACCTTAAGGCTTTCAAATGCTCGTTGTTGGCACTGGGACTGAATGCACCCTATGCTTTAGCTATCTTGTTGGGATGCAGAGCTTTGGATTCATGCCTTGAAGCTTGCAGGATTCGATGGAAGTTCAGGGGTATCCAAAGCCTGCAGCCTCAAAAACGTGGATGTCATTATTTATGATATTTTGGGGGTGGAGTCAGGTGAAAGTGAGGAAGAGGCTACATAGGTATTTGAGGCTGACTTCCAGTCCATGGATAAGAAAGACAAGCTATTTCAGTTGAGGAAGGATGGAGGCCCTATATTCAGTTGTCTAAACTGAATACACTGTGCTGGAGTGTTCAGGGTGCTAAAGCGTGATGACGCCTGGCCCTTGAGGCAACTTACATAGATTAAATATATACACCCAAGCTCTGGTGTGATTGGTTCATTTACCACAAAGCAGCAGGAAAAGTCCTGCAGTGGACTGTGTCTTAAGGCAGGGCTTTTCAACCGGTGGTACGTGTACCACCTGTGGTACATTAGCACGTGGCAAGTGGTACGTGGTTCTACCCAGCCAAATGTAGTGGGAGAGGGAACGATCCAAAGCAGCGCAGCACAGGACTTGCCTTGAGAGAGTCCTCCGGAGCTGCAGAGTGGCTGGGGCGAGGCAAAGGCCCCAGGATCAGCACTTCCGGCTCACCCAGAGAGAAAGGAGGAGGAGGGGAGCAGAGACAGGAGAGGCTATAAAAGGAGGCAGTTTGGGCCGGAGAGGGAGAGAGAAAAAAAGATGCAGCCTTGGGAGGGGGCGGAGTCAACTGTAGCTGCACCAAAGGGAAAGGAGGGTGGGGGGAGAGGAGAGGAGATCAAGCAGGCCAGCCATGAGCCAATCTACAACTTCTGTGGCAGCCATCTGTGCTGGCAGCAACAAACAGACAAGAAACACAGCAGGTGAGGGGTCGCCCTCCACAAGGAATGAAGAAAGGCAGCATCGGCTGGAGGTGAGCAAGGAGGGAGGGAGGGAGGGAGGTGATGGCAATGAGAAAGAGGGAGTAGGAGCAGGAGGGAGGGAGTGTTGGAAGGAAAAGTCCAGGGCTTGCTTTCTAGCTGGGAGTATACCTTTAAGAGACAAGGAAAAAAAATGAAGTGCCGCTGTTTGAAATAGACCAGAGGAAACAAACCTCGGGCTGCTGCTGCTCCGGCTGCTCGAGAGGAGATGTTTAATGGCAAAAGCGAAGTGCCATTTCAGCTGAACAAAGGTCCCTTCCAATTCTATTATTCTGTAATCTCTATTAAATCTATAGATGATTATATATCCTCCCAACTTTAAAACTTCCAGATGTTGGGACGGGGCTGAATGCACCCTATGCTTTAGCCATCTAATTGGGATCCAGAGACCTTTGGATTTATGTCTTGATAAATGTCATTTGCAGGATATGATGGGTGTCCAGGCTGACTCTGGGACCTACAGTCTAGAAGATGCAGAGTTCATGGGTTGTTATTTTTTTGGATGTGGAGTCCATTAATGATTTTTCCAATATGGATTGTGCGGCTGATTATTATGTTGTGGATGTGGAGTCCATTAGTCATTTTTCCGGTGTGCATTCCATGGCTGATTATTATGCTGCGAATATTTTTCCAGTGTGGACTCCATGGCTGATTATTATGTTGCTGATGTGAGGTCCATTAGTAATTTTTTGAATGTGGACTCCATTCAACAGATGTGGAGTCTATTCTTGATATGTCAGATCAGACCCCGAAGAGCAAGAAATAGTTTACAGTGGCACTGGAGTCCACGATGGGATGCGGAAAGCTTTGGATTTATGTCTTCATACGAATAAATGTCATTTGTCCAAGGGGCCTCCAGGAAGATGATGTTATGGAGGTGGAGTCCATTACTGATGTTTTTAATGTGGACTCCTTGGCCGATTCAACAGATCTGTCAGATGAAATGCAGAAGAGCGAGCAACAGAGTCATCAGAGTCTGGTATCTCTTCCAGTTCCTGAGTAAAGAAAGACAAACTGTTTTCTGTTGGGAAGAGATGGAGGCCCTAAATTCTGTTCTTCTAACCTGAGACTACTGATTGGAATGCTCTCATGTCATGGACTGAGGAGATACCTGGTACTTGGGCCTTAATATTTGTACCAATGCTCTGGTGTGACCAGATCATTTGCTGTAAAGCAGTGGTTCTCAACCTGTGGGTCGGGACCCCATTTGGGGTCGAATGACCATTTCATGGGGGTCGCCAAACCATGCTGTCCACCATTTTCTTCCCTTTTCCCTAGCTATCCTACTCCCTCTTATTGGTGGCCACACCCACTTGGGGGTCACCACAACATGGGGAACTGTATTATGGGGTCACGGCATTAGAAAGGTTGAGAACCACTGCTGTAAAGCAACAGGGAAGGGTCCTTTGTAGTTAACCGGTGTCCTACATGGATTTAATAGGGAGAGGGAACTATCCCTTTCTTTTCTCTCTTTCTCTTCATGCCCTGGCCCATGAGACTTAGTGCTGAGACAAACCTGAAGCCCCATAGAGAGTATACTCTGACTGTAGTTAGGGGCTGGCCCTCTAGCAGTCATAATGGTACTGCTTTCCTGCAGAATGGAGGCTTGTCTGCTCAACAGCTGGGCTTGGACTGGGGCCTCCTGCAGCAAGGGGGTTCTCCCTCTTGCCTTGGGTCCTTCTCCCTAAAAGGAAATGGACTAAGATGGTGGGCAGTAGTGGATGGTTAACCTGAGGGTCAGTCATGAGAGATGTGAGGATGGGGGGAAGCTGTACATAAGGTAGTCAATGCTCTGGTCACTTCAGAATGCCCAAAATATTTCAGAGATGAATTCTGGATTGCAAAAATAAGTGTACGCAAAGAACAGATCGAAGAGATAGCAGCCAAACGGTAACATACTCAGAATTTTGGCAGCCCTTTGAGTAAGTCCTGGCTTTCAAAGTCAAAGCAGGCTGAAGTTTCTCTCGGTTACTCAATCTGGAGGTGGAGACTCTTGTTGCTCACTTAGAGATTATCCAGAGACATCTTCTGCTTTACATTTTCTTCCAAGATGCTGTTCTGCTTGAAAGAAGGAGAGACATAATCATATTTCCTGCTCAATTCAGGGATAATTTTGCTACCTGTCTTCTCCAATTTGGCTCTTTCCTAATGTTTTGGAATTCATCAACTTCTGTTAGCATAAAATGGAAGTGGGACTTAGGAACAAGCCAACATCTGCTGAGTGGTCTCTTGCAGAATGGGTTTTTAGAAATAATTTGCACTGATATGTTTATGCATTGCATACATACAGGTCATCCTTGACTTACGATCATAATTGAGTCCAAAATTTCTGTTGTTAAGCAAGATAGTTGTTAAATACGTTTTCTCCCATTTTACGACCTTTCTTGCCACAGTTGCTAAGTGAATCGCTGCAGTTGTTAAGTTAGTAACATGGCTGTTAAGCGAATTGGGCTTTGCCATTGACATAGCTGTCAGAAGTCACAAAGATGACCTCGGAACAGTGCAACCATCATAATTACATGCCAGTTGCCAAACAACAGAATTTTCATCATGGGACCATGGGAATGTTGCAATGGTCATAAAAAATGGTCATAGGCCACTTTTTTCAGTGCCATTATAATTTGGAATGGTCACTAAACAAATGGTTGTAAATTGAGGGCTCCTTTACCGAAAGAAGCCAGGAGTATGATTGGTTGATTCATCAAGTAGTTTGATTTTACTCAGGCTAGATAATCTCTCAAGCCACAAAAGTCCAGCCTCAAATGACCATATTTTGAGGCACATTATGCAAAAATCCAGCTGGAGAAAGATCTGCAGCAAGATGGATAGACTGGATTATCGTGGTGATGGGTGTCCTATTGGAAGATCAGATTAGGGACAGTTCATCCAGGAGAAAATCAATCTATGTAGTCACTAACAGTCCACACTGATTTAATGGTACATAATCAATCAAACAATGCAGATAAAACTCCCTAAAGAAATCTGCAATGCTTGGAAAGGTGGAAGGAAAGAGAAGAAAAGAGGATGGTTGCAATTACAGTGGTGATGGGTGCAGCTTGGGAGACCTGAAGGACCAGCTTGGGGACACATCTCCATGGAGAAAATTTATCTTGACTTTTTTGCCCGTTACACAGCCTTGGCTATATCTGTGCTTATACTCATCCAATATATGAGCCTGACTGTAGCAACTAAAGTGGCCCTTTTATGTGGAAAAGAGGATGGATCCTAGTAGTTTATACCAGGACTTTTCATCCTTTAAGGCATGTGCAGATTTGAACGCCCAAAACTCAGCAGGCTGGCTAGGGAATTTTGGGAGCTGCAGTCCACACATGCCCTAAAGTGGACAAGTTTGAGAATCACTGACACAATCCATCAGTACTTCTAATTCTAATGACTTCTCATTTCATTATAAGTCCAATTCAAAGCATATTATCTATAAAAACCTTCCAATCTTTTTTGAAATGGGATTTTCTGTATTTTTTTATTGTTATTCTGTCTCTCACTATTAAAATAAACCTACCATTAAAATTATAGACTGATCATTTTTTTGTCAGTGGGCAAATGTACAAAATCAGCAGGGGATCAAACACTTTTCCCCCTCACTGTAGATAATTTGCTGCATCCATGCTAGGCAAGCCCAGTTTAGCTTATTGTACTATGTGAACTCAAGCATGAGTTTGGAATATAATGGTAATGAAGGCCTCATGGTGCATCTCCTGCCCTGCAAGCATCCTTCCTGATTCACTGTTCTGCAATTTGAGAGAAGGCCAAATCCTACCAACAGTCAACTGCCATCTTGGCCCTTGCCAAGCCAACCCTACAGGGTGTGTGAGTCTCTCCTGAGCTGCAGCCCTCAAGAAGCTCCCCTAACCCTTTTCTCTGGAGAAGCTGCCCCAAAAACAGAAAGGTGAGCATTGCAATTTGCCTTATTTTATTATTGCTTTTGCTTGGTGTTGACTTTCCTACTTTCTTCTTCACTGTTTTTCTGTGACAGAAGAGATTGATATATTGCCTTTCTTCCAAATGTTCAAGGTAGCTTTCATTGCAACTTCCTTTCCTTTTATCTCAACAACAATCCTGTGAGATAGGATGACTGAAAAAGCACAACTGGCTCAAAGTCCCCAGTAGGTTTCTGGGTGGACTTGAACTTCAAATTGCCTTATCCTGTCCCCCCAACTCCACCACGCTCTCAATTCTAATTCTGCAATACTTACAATTTGACTTATAAAAGTTCTAAGATGCCTTTCTCCAAAGCAGCATGGAAAATCTTAATAATTAAAAAAGATTATTTGTTTTATATTACTAGCTCATCTTCATTAAAACATTACAAGCTCTCAGAAATAAAGAGTGGGGATCCAGCTCTCAATAGGTAAAGTACTAGTCTACTCTGAAATCATTTCACCCCAGGCCACTTTGCTCACATCATACAATATTATGGTTTGTTTAATAATTTATTCCATAAAAACAGTGCACAACACTGAACATTGCAAATTACAATGTTTGGATTCACACATATTTAACTAAATAAATCATATGATGGTTTTAGTTCAATGTGCCAATATAATCTTTTTTCTTTTTTTACATTCTGAGGAGGATCTGAGATTTCCTTATTTTGTTGGCTGTAGGAAAGAGTGAATCAGATGAATGCCTAATTCTTCTTGGAAGGACGACCACTTATCATTAGAAGTTTGGTAGTAACTTTTCAGACTAGCACATTTCATTAGAAAGCAGATAATTTAAAAGTTTGTACCTTTGCCCTTTAATCAAACTCTTGATTTGGGGCTACCACAGACTAATATGCTTCTTCTACAATCTCAGGAGTGTACAAATTGGGGCACTTGCCACAAGAATGTGCCCAACACATAATCTATAAATCACTGATTTCCAGAGATGAAATTACATTTAAAAGAGAACTAATCCGTAATTCCCCAATTATTAAGTCACCAGTATTTCATATGCTTAGAATATTACAGAGTCCGTTTCAACTATGTTATTTCCTTTCATTCACCCAGCTGACATTTAAACAAAGTTCTGGATATTTTTTTAACTATTGAATATGTCGATAATTACATTTTGCATGTTTTAACAAAGGAAAAACGCAAGTCCGGTATTAAAAGCACCTCAGTCTTCGCCAGCACGCGCAGTTAGTTCTCTCACGCAGACTTCACAACGTCACTGAGCACGCGCGACCTAGCAGCCGAGCTGCCCTCATTCTTTTTAGCTTCATCGGCTCACAGAGCATGCTCCAGAAGACCTCTTCCCAGACAGTGTGTTTAAAGATGGCAGGCGCACTGCGTCGCTACCGTAGTTAAGGTTGCACGCGGGCTGTTGCAAGGAAAGCGAGCGGCGCTTTTAAGGCTCTGGACGCTTTTTCCTCTTCTCATTTGCGGGTTTTAAGGTAATCCACTATTATCAAGGAAAAAGGGAAGATAAAATGTTATAGATTTCTACTTTTTTTTTTTTTTACTAGTATGGTCAATTTTCAGAGCAGTCATGGAAGATCCGTGTTTCTCAACCCTGGCATCTTTAAGATGTGCGGACTTCAACTCCCAGAATTCCCTAAGCAGCATCTTAAAGTTGCCAAGGCTCATTTATTTTTATTTACTTATTTAATTTATATCCCACCTTTTTATTATTTTTATTTATTTACTTATTTAATTTATATCCCACCTTTTATTATTGGAGTTATTTTTATAAACAACTCAAGGCCACGAGCATATGTAATACTGCTTTTTCTTTCTATTTTCCCCACAAGAACAACCCTATGGAGTGAATTGGGCTGAGAGAGAATGACTGGCTCAAAGTCACTTAGCTGGCTTTCAGGCCTAAGGCAGGACTAGAATTCACAGTCTCCTGATTTCTAGTGTGGTGCCTTAACCCACTAAAGCAAACTGGTTGAGGAACACTGTTAAGACAGGCAAAGTGGGGTGAGCAAAGTGTAAGAATCCTCTTCTTCAACTTCTTCAAAGGTTTCTTTAGTTCAGTACCTCTAAGCCAGTGTTTCTCAACCTTGACAATTTTAAGGCATGTGGACTTCAACTCCCAGAATTCCACAGCCAGCATTGCTGGCTGTGGAATTCTGGGAGTTGAAGTCCACATGCCTTAAAATTGTCAAGGTTGAGAAACACTGCTTCTAAGCTATCCTGTTTCCTGTTGTGTATTCTGGTGACAATGATTTTTCCAGGAAGCCCCCAAGCAGGGCAGTAGGCTTGGTTTGTAAGATCTGTTGTTTGCAGATACACTGCTGCTGTACATGGAAGTCCTTGCTCCAGAACCATATGCTTCATGTTTTTGAGGCAAATGAAACAAAACCAGTCAGCACCATCATTCTAGCTCTGCATTTCTTAATCATTCAACTGGGCTCATACATAATGGTGCTAGATTATGATTTCACTTTTGGCTCAGCATATTCTGTGAATCTAATCAAGGGATTTATAGCTGTGAGTTTGGTTAAACTCCAGCAGGGCTTAGAGCAATGGGCGATGTGGTCAATCATCAAGAGCCAAACTTGTTCCCCAAATGATGTCTGTATGTCATCATTTGGTGTGGAAAATATATCTCTTTTTTTCAGTTGCGTGTGTGGAGAAAAAGATGAGAAACCTAAAATTATTGAGAGCGCAAGAATGCCAGCCAGTCCGAGCTCTTGGTACTCCTCAAGGTTTCACTATCCGCGCAGATAGAGGAACAGTGTTGGTCAGCACTGAGTATGGAATTGTGGAACTGGATCCTGTCACACAGGAGGTGAGGGTTCACATGTTATCCCAGATGTGGCCTTTGGGTCTGAAGGATTGTCTCACTAGCAGTGGCTGTGGAAGGAAAACTGGATAATATTGCTGTGCTTTGAAACAGATTTAATGGAAATCTCTTTCTTCAAATAGTTGGTTAACTTACTTTTTTAAAATTTTCCTATGCAGAGAGCCCTATCAGACTTTCAAAGAACTTAGGAATATCCGAGACTATATAAAAAGAAACCCATTCTGTAAAAATTTCTAAACTATAAACATGTTCTGTCCTTAGATGTTAACAATCTGTACATTTCCAATAAGATTGTTTAAATGAATGTTCCTTTTCTAAATCTATTAACTTTATTGTTAATTTGTGCAAGAAGAAACTGAATTTTGCATTCAGCTTAAAATGCTCAGGCTAAGTAGTTTCTTGGTGGGATACTTCATGATATAATAAAGAAAGTCAACGCCAGCACCTTAATTTGGAGCAGCACCAAGATACAGATAAAAATCGAAGATGTTTGGATTTGTTTGTCAATCTTTCAAAAAACTAGCAGTGATGAGTCAAACAACATATAGAACAAGAATGAAAGATTTCTCATGAGCCTTTGTCTTGTCTTTGTTTTAAAGGTCATCAACGAAGTTGCTTTGACAACTGAGGGTTTTCTACCAGAAGATGGAAGCGGATGTATTGTGGGCCTGGAGGATTTGCCAGATGTAGAATCGGTCTGCGTGGCTACAGCAATTGGTGATGTTATACTGTGCAATCTAAACACTCACCAGGTATGGCAGAATGGCAAGTATAGCAATACCCAAGTAAGATATGAAATAGAATGCAACAACACAACACATAATACAAAAGTACTTGCTTTAATATTGCTGGTCTCAATATAGCTGTTGCCCCTTTAAATAAATATATTAGCTTCTTGCACATAAGAATAAAAATAACTATGAAAGATACAAATAATTATATGTATATATTTTCTGTGGAAGTGTTTACCCTTTGGAATGATTTTGCTCCTGAAATTCAGAACTCTCTCTAACCCTTTTGGAAAGCTGGGAAAACCTGGTTTTCCCCATATGTTGGGCCAGGGCATTAGATGAGCTCATTTTCTGGGAAATAGAATGTATGTTTACTTGACCATTCCAATATGTTGTCTGTTATGTTGGTTATGGATGTAATTTCTCTGATTCTGTATCATAATGTTGCCAGGTTCTGTGTTGCAGCACTTAAAATCCATCAGAAGATGACCTGTGCCATTCTTTTTAGGTTTTTCAAAAATAACTTTTAGGTTTTTATAATTAATAGTTTTAGACTTTGATGTAAGTTTTTTACTATGGTGTATCTTCTATGCCTTTTAATTTTTTTTTGTACCCCATCCTCTTCATGGTGGGTTTTGACCATAATAAAGATTTGATTTGATTCAGTTGCTAAACAGGGCAATCATAAAGCAAGGACTATCTATAAAAATAGAACTGGTACTCCTGGTTGTGCATCTTGTCTATGCTGCTTCACAGGGCTAATACATAAACACATCACATTAAGATGTTGAGCTTATCCATAATGTGGCAAAATTATGTGTCATAACTTGCAGCATTTAGGAAGAGCTAACACCTCCACTGACACCTCCTCTTAATAGTGTATTCTTAAAATCCTTAAGAGTGTATTAATTGATGATGAATTTTATGATCTTTGTAAACAGTTAATATGCTTGACGGTAATAAAGAAGAATTTAACTTCAAAATGTTTAGTCTAATTTCCATTGAGATTGTTTTTAAGCAATTAGCATTTTCTTTTTTAAAAAAAGAGTAGATTTATGCTACATTGAAACATATGGGCTGGTGACCACTATATGGGAGCAAAGAGCTAAGATTTTTTTTTGTACAGTATCACTGCAGCCATAGTAATGAAGATATACAGGTAGTCCTCAACTTACAACAATTTGTTTAATGACTGTTTGAAGTTGCACTTATGACCATAGCAGCATCCCCATGATCATATGATCAAATTCAAGATACAACTGACTCATGATGGTTGCAGTGTCCTGGGGTCATGTGACCACCTTTTGCAACCTTCTGACAAGCAATGGGGAAGCCAGATTCACTTAAAAACTGTGTTACTAACTTAACAACTGCAGGGATTCACTTAACAACTGTGGCAAGAAAGGTCGTAAAATGGGGCAAAACTCAATTAACAAATGTCTTGCTTAGTAACATAAATTTTAGGCTCAATTGTGATTGCATCACCTGTGTTGATATTATGTTCCAGTCTCATTTCTAGTTAAATATTTTGGTGAGAACTGCTTATACAAGACTACAGAAATAGTATTGCAGGACTAGAACACGATCACTATCCATCTGTATTTGAGTAGGTCTTTTTTTCTTACTTGAAGATGATTGAGGGAAAACATGTAATTTGCTTTGATTTATTGATGTTGGTTGCTGTTAAAGAGATATAAACAGTATTGAACTCTTTTGCAGCTGGAATGTGTTGGGAGTGTGGACAGTGGCCTGACCACAATGAGCTGGAGTCCTGACCAAGAACTTGTTCTTCTTGCTACAGGTACAACTCAAAATTGCAAAACATTCTCAACTTTATTCTCTGTCTTTTGGATTCTGGCAGAGAATGGTTCATTGCATCCGATGGTTTACAAAGTAGTAACCAGCCATTGATTTGCATTAACTATTCCTTGTTTGCCAAAAACATGGTGGGTTCATATGACATGCATTAATATCACTTTTAACCACAACGGGCAACAAACCAATAGGCAGGGCCAAGGGTGGGCACAATCCACAATTCAAAGTTCTTCCCCTTTGTATGAGATTGACACAGACAGAAAGGGGTGGGGCTTGAAACCATAGTGGCACCCATTTTTCCCCCCCTCTTTATTGTGGACAGCACTGGGGGAGAGCTTACTTTTTCTAGATGTCTGTCAAGAAAAGAGATAATTTTTCAAAGAAGAGTTAATCTGAACTAAGCAGGGATTGGGCTTGAGAACTTCAGAATTAGAAGATGCCTCCTTCTGTGATTCGACAAGATGATTCAACTGCACTTAAACATTTTAATTTCAAACTTCTTTATATATTCTTGTGACAGGTGAGCAGACTCTGATTTTGATGACAAGAGACTTTGAACCAATTGCGGAAAGACAGATCCACCAGGATGACTTTGGAGAAGGTGAGATGGTAGTGCAGATGCTAGAATCTTACAAAATATATTACTGCAGTTCTGTGAAGGGCTAGGCTACACAGAGAAACTGAATTGACTGAAAATAGCTATCAATTGTTATGGGCTGAAGTCATGGACTGTATGTTCATTGGTATCAGGGCAGTAAATTGAAAGAGAGCAATGTTTTGTAGTCACTTGTTACATACATGTGACATTGCCATCAGTCTGGCTGGCAATCTATCAAATATAAAAGCATTAACTGGCCTATAGTGAATGTGGAGTGGACTTTTTAAATTGGAAGTTGTCTAGAGAATATTTTATATATGTTATGAAGTGGCCCATAAATACTATTGCCTCTGGAAAATTAGAAGTAAACACTAGAAAAGTTGGATGTACCTTTTTGACAGATCTATAAAATATTAATCTTCAAATATTCTTTATTTGATTGATTCTTAGGCAAATTTATTACTGTTGGATGGGGTAAAAAAGAAACACAGTTTCATGGATCGGAAGGCAAGCAGGCTGCTCATACCAAGTCGATGGTACTACGTTTTTAATTACAAATACTGATTCTATATGTAAATATTTAATTACAATGGTGCCAGGAATATGCACTTTTACTGCAGGCATGAATATTAAAACAAATGCAATAAGTCATAGAACTGGAATAATGATGAGAGTTTGGAACTTGGGTAGAAAATGTCCAGATTCCTAGCAACCATGAAGTTCACTGCCTGATCTTGACTCAGTGGCACAGCTGAATTTGCATTTAATGATGGGCCAGAATATAATATTAATACGTGAATTTTTGCAAGTCCAAGTTAAGTCCTGAGTTCATGTGCCTGTCTTTTATCCCGTGTATTTGAATACAACCAGATGGAAATATCAAGTATGATTTAGTTTCATTTTCCATGATTCCTACCTCTTTTGTTCAGCTCAGGAATATAATAGTTGCTAAATAAGTCAACAACAAATCATTTTTAATGAGTGCGTTTAAATTGTGATTCCTGGTTCACACCTAATGTCAAGTCAAGAATTCAAGAAAGTAAAATTAAAGGCAATGAGAGTTCCCCCAGCTTGTGGGAGAATAAAAAAACGCATAGATGCTTAGGGTGACTTGTTAATGATGGTGCATTTGGTGCAAAGTATTTATATGGTTAGTATGTGCTCATATGGTATGTAAGTTTATATGTGAATGGGTCTACATGTTTAATCTTACATTGCTGCTTCACTAACTTTTGTGGGGATTAAAAGAGTTTTATGAATCAGCATTTAATTAATATTGTTGCCTTTAAGAGCATCTAAGATCCCTGTGAGTAATTTGTGTGCCTAGCTATAGGGGATGTCAAAATGGTAGGGCTATTCTGCAACTTCCCCTAGGGTGAAATTTTGCTAGATTTGAATTCCATGATCACTATTATCTTAGCGGGCCTACTGAATGTAAGGAGAATTGAGGGAAGACTGATAATGTCCTGAGGCAATATTTGGCTTGGACTCTCTAGTAGCTGAGCCTGCATGGTAGCACTTCATAGAAATACAATTATATTAAAGGAGAATAATTAGGTGGTAATGGTCCTTTAGTAGCAAGTTACATATATCAGGGATCATTCTTTACAGGTGATGGGCACCGTTGCAAGTTGTAACAATTTAAAATTTTAAAGCACCTTAAATCTCACAAAATCTTGTGATGTTGGTAAGATTTCAGTCAGTGTGTTTAAAAATATCTATATCCAAATTTTGCGTCATTTCATATGATCTTTTTCAGGAAATATTGCCTGCTTTACTATGGGATGATCATAGACCTCGGATCAGTTGGAGAGGAGATGGACAGTATGTAGCTGTGAGTGATATTTGCCCAGGAACAGGTTGGTTATTATTTTAAAATAATAGCATGATAATTTCTGTTAGCTTTTGACTGAGCAGGTGAAGGAAGGAAAGTTTTGTTTTTTTTAAAAAAAAAACCTTCCAAAGTCTCATGGTTGTCCCACATTTTGATGCAGCTTTCCCCAACTTGGTATGGTTGATATCATGATGCCCCACCACCGTATTAAAGAATTATGGGAAATCTATCGAGTTGTAATGATTCTCTCTCTCTCTTTTTCTCTTATCGCCTTTTCTTTCGTCCGTTCATGGGCTTCTTGACTTCATCCTCTACCTTGGGAATTATGGGTATTTCGCAAACATTCAGGGGCTCGAAAAGTGAGAGTGTGGAGCCGGGAACTTATTCTACAAAGTACCAGTGAGCCTGTCCCAGGCCTAGGACAAGCACTGGCCTGGAAGTGAGTAAGGAAATATGGGGTGGTTCATGGTGTGTGTGTTATTGGCTTTCTGATTATAATTTCTTCTATTATTCACCAAGCTAATATTTTACTGAAAATCCCCATTAATTCTGAATCTAGGGTGTAGGATTATGATCTCACTCAATCACTCCTAATCCATTTTTAATGCATTTCTTTATTCAGTTTATGTGGTCACCCTGGGTGGCTAACAGAATAAAAAAAAACAAGAGAAAGATACCATAAAAAGCAATGAATAAAGATAAAACCTACTAACATTGTCAACGTTACCAAAATTGGGACTCAGCCACACATAATAATGGATATTTTTTAGAAAAATCTGTGAATATTTGGAGAATTTTTGCTTGAAAACTTGTTCTAAATCATTTCTTCACTTCTTTCTTTTCTGCTTATATTTCAGGCCCTCAGGAAGCTTGATTGCTTCTACACAGGATAAAGCCAACAAACATGATGTTGTGTTCATAGAACAAAATGGGCTCCTTCATGGAGAATTTACTCTTCCTTTCCAAAAAGGCCAAGTAAAGGTAGGATGTACTTTTTTCTTGAGGCATGATTCAGTTAACCATCATTGGATCTGCAGACTTTTTTCTCACTAGTGTATCTGATATTATTTCCCTCAGTGGGAGGACAGTTTTTAAACTGTAAGTTGTCTACATGAACATGTTTGCAGATTACCAAGAGCAGCGCTTGACTCAGAGAAGATTTTAATTAAGTAGTTGTGTATGGCATGAATTTTTTTTTTTATTAAAAGTGCTTTAGATAGGTGATGACCCTAGTTGTATTTCTATAGGTAAACGAGCTGCTCTGGAATTCTGACTCTACGATATTGGCTGCCTGGGTGGAAGAACTGGAAAGTGACAGTAGTTCTCAAAGAAAGATGTATGGTAAGAACATTCAGTAATCATTTCTTAATTTTACAGAATTTATTGGATTTGTCACAGTCCTATAGTTTTGGCCTACTTTATTTTGGTTTTGTGCACGGCTATTCTCAGCCATTTTTTTTTAATCTGGAGGGTACAGTATCAAAACTCCAAATATATTATGTGTCTAAGCATTACACTGGAGGGACATGTGGTTTTAACTCTTCTCAACAAGAAAAAGGAGAATTAAAGGGAATCAGTAACTGATTGATGATGAATATATGCTATCAAGTTGATATTGAATCTTGGTGATAGATTGATAGTTTTTTCTAGGAGGATCTGTCGCCATTCTAGTCCTTCAGGTTTTCTAACAATGCTGTAACTGAGTCCATCTAGCAATCAGCAATTGGCAACCCCTAAATCAAGTCTGGATCTTCTTGGTGTTATTGCCCTATCTCTTCCCCGAACTATGGACATCACAGGGATGGAGAAAGAGGCAAGCAAACGTACTATGTTGAGTAATTAGGTAGAACAAGTTTTTGTAGAAACCATCAATTGGGAAGAGTCCATTTTATAGTGAGTTTCAGTAGCACATTATCAGTAAGATTCAGAGCTTACACAATTAAAGTACAGTGTACTCTTACCTCTCCTATATTCTGTAAACATTTCTCTTCTAATTACAGTCCAGCTGTGGACAACAGGAAACCATCACTGGTATTTGAAACAAAGCCTGCATTTTGGCAGCCTTGAGGGCAGCCCACTTCTTGTATCCCTGGTGTGGGATCAGGAGATTCCCTATCGACTTCATGTCCTCTGTGAACAGTGGCTATATCTTTGCTATGATTGGCAGTGGAGTACTGATCACAGCACCGGTGGAGGGGCCAATGACTCGGCTAGTGTAGCAGTCATTGATGGAGGTACATTTCAAATTTCCCTTTACTGCAACTACAAGAATTTCACAAGAATGATATGTATATCACTTTAGGGAAGGGTTGGAAGCATCTCACTGGCCAGTTTATAGAGGCTGGTTAACCAGGTAGACTTGTGGGGATAATGTGATACTCACAAATAACTAATAGGAGAAAATGTATGTAGCTTAGGGTTGAGCTGTTAAGTACCCTCTGAGCTTGATTGTTTTCTTGCAGCTATTTCATTATCAGGCTTGGTTACATTACCAATGGGGAGAAGAGTCAAGATTTGTTGTTGTAGATGTCAGCTTGAGCCCTGCCAATCTTGGGAGAGTGGGGGGGGGTGGCCTTCCTCCTTGATGTCTTCTTGATTAGGGCATTATTTTCTCCCTGATGCTGATTCCTGCTTACATGGGTGTTGATTTCTGAGGTGGTTGTGTTCTAGTCTACATTTGTTTCCTTCTTAGGCTTTGATTGTATCTTTTGAATGGCAAATTTATATATCGTGGTGAATTTTACATAGCTTTCAAAAGATATAGCCAAAATATTTGGGTTGTGTGATCTAGGCAACTTTTGTTATGAAGTTGTTTCAACCCAGTCATGTATTATGGCAGGTCTCATGAGAAGAGAAGGCAATGATTTGTTAAACATTTTGCTTTCTATCATTCAAGGACTGCCCAAAACCAATTATACTTTGTTGTATCTTACTGCTTGATTTAATGCAAGCCAGCAAGTGCAGATATTGCTTAATCATATTTGAATTATATCATCTGAATATAGATACACCTATACATACACATACATATACATACACATACTTATATGCACATATATATACTATATGTACACACACACACACACATACATACATACATACATACACACACATATACCTTTCTGATGCTTAAATGAACTTTTTTCCCTTTTCGTTTTTGAAAGATAAGGTTCTATGGACAGCCTTTCTTCATGCTGTAGTGCCTCCACCTCTTTGTACATATCAGCTCCAGCTCTCCTCTGCTGTCAATCAAGTTGCTTTCTCTACAGAGTCTCAGAGTGGGGATCTTGCTGTTCTGGATGCTGAGAACAAGTTGTCCATTTATAGACTGGGTAGGTAATCTGAATCTTTGACCAACCTTGTCTGGGCTTGGAAGCTCAGTAGTGTCACTACTGGTTAATGTTTGGATGGGAGATCACCAGAGAATTCCAAGCTTGTAAGCTAGACTGGGAAATCAGAGAAACTTCAGGAAAAGGCAATGGGATGCCACTTTGATACCTTCCGGAAAATGACATGGATATATTCACATGTCCACCAGATAATTTGTAGGACTCTTTGTCTTTGATTTTTGTTCATGGGGATATGGTTCCAGTTCTGTATATTGGCTGGAAGGGTGGATTGCCTCAGATCCTGCTACCTTTTAAAAACTGAACTATGATATATCTATATTTGGGGAAAGTCTTGGAGAGAACTCCAGTTTTTCTAACAAAACCTTTTTCAAATGAGGCATAGTAGTAAGTTTGAACTGTAAAAAGTATGGGAATTGATAGTTGCATTAAGCCCTCCTCAATCAATGTACCTGAAAAATTCAACACAGGATATTCTGTGTAAAAATAGAGAAATTCCCTCCAAGGTGTAAGGTGGAAGTCATGTAATGTCCATCCTCACAAGAAAAGCAAGTCAGCCGTATAGGGTAGGGCTCCCCACCACCCAGTCCATGGACCAGTACGGATCATATGGATGCCGCGCCCACCCCAGCTCCGGCAATGCAAAAGAAGTCACGCTATGTCGCGACACGTCACGTGACGCGGCGAGTTTGACACCCATGTCTTAGAGCAATCAAGGAAGAAGGAAGGGACTGGAAGATGCCTGTAAGAGAAAAGACCTATGGTAGCTTGTACAGCTAGTCTCTCTTCTCATCACAGCTTCCATTGTTCAGGAAAAGTTTGCTTTAGAAGAATCATAGCTCATATTTGTCTGGAAATTATAGAATGCTTCCATTAGAAAATAGTTTGAACTTATTTTTGATCCTGTCCATGTGGAATGGCCATCTGATGTTTTATTCGCTAAGCCATAACTTTAAAGAATAATATTGTGGCAATAAAGATAAAAAACTGTGCGTGTGTGTGTGTGTGGTTTGCTCAATAATATACCTTATTGCCTTTTGACAGATAATCATCCAGAAATGGACCCTACAGTTAAAATGGATGCAGTTGATGGAAAAAGATTTACAGCTGCTGTTCCTCGGCTGGAAACGTCATACAGGTACTGGATGTCACATTTGACTCTGGAAGGCACTGATTGGAGTCATTGGTTAGAGATAGGAGGGAATGGTTCTACAGAAACCCCCCCTCCCCAATTTCCAGGATGGTTCTTTCTTTTCCTTTTCTAAATTGGAATTGTCATTTGGGAGATATACATAAAAGTTCACAAAACATAATGAGCCCTGAGGGCGCAGCGGTTAGAATGCAGTACTGCAGGCTACTTCTGCTGACTGCTGGCTGTCTGCAATTTGGCAGTTCGATTCTCACTGGCTCAAGGTTGACTCAGCCTTCCATCCTTCTGAGGTCGGTAAAATGAGGACCCAGATTGTTGGGAGGCAATATGCTGACTCTGTAAACTGCTTAGAGAGGGCTGTAAAGCACTGTGAAGGGATAAATAAGTCTAAATGCTATTGCTATTGCTATAATCCATAGTAAGATATAATTAGTAGAGTTCACTCTTCTGTCTCTGGTCACAAAGGTAGGGCATAAGTTAAATAAATAAGAGTTTGTGTTTGCACAGATACTGTTAATGCTATGATCTGAACTAAGAAGCCATTCAGCTATGCTAGGTATGATTCCCATAGCTTCTGGCTACCTGATCCATACTGGCTGGGGTTATCAGGATTCTTATCCATCATATCTTGAAGCCTGTAGCTGGGAAGGATGCCTTAAGATAAGGGTCTTCAAACTTGGTCCTTTTATGACTTATGGACTTCAACTCCCAGAATTCCTCATTCAGGCATGGTGGCTGAGGAATTCTGGGAGTTGAAGTCCACAAATCATAAAAGGGCCAAGTTTGAAGACCCCTGCCTTAAGTGTTTGAAGTAGCTTTCAGATTTGTTTCCCAGAGCCAGTTCTTCCTAGATTTTGTAACACGGCTTCCTCCGATTGCTCCACTCTCCAGATGTGTGGCTTCACTTCAGAGAATTGCCAAGAATTAGATCACACATCTGGAGAATTTGCCAAGTTTGGAGAAGACTTGCTGTACACTTCCTCCTAGTCAACATATAAAATAAGTGAAGTGGGTTAAAAGCACTGCAGTTGAATTGACATGAGAAACAGGTAGCCTAAATTTCCTATGAAGTCATCCATTGACGGTGGCAGTGAACATCCACAGGTAAATTTACCCCTGACGAAATTGTAATAACTACCATAGAATACGTATACGTCGTGGAAACTATTGTAGAGTCACTGATATTTCGGCGAGCCCATCTTTTCTGCCTATTTGCCTAGATATATTTTAGAAAATTGTATAATTTAGCATTAATTACTCATCTAAATGTCTTTGACTTGGGGGGGGGGCAATTATCACAGAATTAACCTGCGTGATGACAAAAGAGGAAAGAATCCACTGTGGCTTCGTTTTCTTACTTGGCTGCAAGATGACTTACTCTTAGCTGCCAGCCAGGGCTGTTTCCCAATGCGCACAGTTATTCATCATCTGAAGATGGGCTCATCAGGACAAGAAGGACGTGTCGATATCAGGTACTGGACAGGTTTTTATGTTTATCGTATTAATGAAAATCAAACCATTTTTTGTGTGGTTCTGGATTAAAAGGCAACTTTTCTCCTAAATGCTTTTTTTGTTCTTTTTTTGAACTGGTTAGTCGAACTAGCTTTGACAGGATGAATGCGGGTGATGGAGGCAAGGTCATTCTTCATATTTATTTTTCCCTCTTCTAGCTTGCTGATGTATTTCTAAAGCATTAAACAGTGTTGTAGTAGAACAATCCCTCAAGGTGCACAATTGGTTGGGTTAGAAGAGGCTCACATTGTGAGGTAGCTTGTGTTTACAGATAGTCCTTGACTTACAACCAGAACTGAGACCAGAATTTTCATTGTTAAGCAAGGCAGTTATTAAATGAGTCACACTCACTCTTTTTTTTCTTCTGGTTGTCAAGCAAATCACTTGCAGTTGTTAGGGTAATAATTTAATAAGCAAATCTGGCCTCCCCATTAACTTTTCCTGTCAGAAACCCCCTGAAAAGATTGCAAATGGCAATGACATGAAACCCAGATACTGCAGCTGTCGAAAATACTTGCCAATTGCCGAACACTCAAAATTTTGATCGTAACTGTGATGGTTATAAGTGCGAGTACAAGTTGAAAGTCGCTTTTCCCAGTTCCTGTTGTAACTTCAAACGGTCGGTAGATGAATGTTGTAAGCTGAGGACTGTGTAAATTGGCATTTTTATGGATAACTTTGTAACACTTTTTTGTTAATGTGCAGTCATACTATAAATTGTGTCAGTCAGACCCAGGGGGCTCAATGGAGCACCCAGGAAAGCAAGTATCAGTGCTATCCCATATCTATAAACTGGTAGTCAGCTTTCACAATTTTGGTACACTTTGGAAACCTTTACAAACCATTTCTAAGTTGGCAGAAGTTGCTCCAACGTAATAAAAGCTATTGGCGTGCTGTGCTGATGTTAAGAACAGTTAAGTACCTATTCCAAATGCCCTTCAATTTTGTCTTCCTTTCATTGTTATTATGGTTGCGCCTCGCTTTAGATTCAAAGGGCAAAATGTGATTTAGAGCATGGGATTTGCACGTAGTACCCATCAGGAACACCTTGAACTAAACTTGTGTGGCAACCGAAAGGGCCTCTGTGCGAGCCCAGGAAAAGATGCAGCTCCTTGAATGAGTTTCTAGTAGATGTTGCATCTGGCCCATGTACACCAGGAATCGTATTTCGCCTTTTGGATTTTAAGTTTGTACAACCCAAATGTGTATTAATATTTTTGAGGTATCCATTGTGATTTTGTTGTAAAGAGTTTTTATTGCCCACATTTGTGCGTTGCCCTTCTTTCCCAAGACTCAGGGCAGCTCATCCCTTTTATCCTGGAAAACAAGCTAGACTGATAAGTAGTAACTTGCTCAATGTGAAATTTACAGCTACACTGAGGACCAGAAATCAGAAACCTTACAGTTCAATACTCTGTACTACATGTAGCCGAGTTACTCCAGACCTAAATACCCAGGAATCTTTATACATCTGATATATCTTAGCAATGGGAATAATAGTAGTTACTAATATTTCAGAAAAGTGCCCTGTCAGAAAAATTACTGGAGCAGTAGGGGCAGCAATCTTAAATTAAGGCTCCATACGGCTCAGTTTACAAGTGCTCCATATTGAGGTTCGAGCTTCAGATAATTCCACTTCTTTTCTCTATAGTCATTGCTAACACTTGTGTGACTGCAAGATGGCATTCAAGACATAAATTGACTCACTTTCTCCCTTTTCTGGCCCTTCTTATAGGTCCCCTGTGAGCGTTGATGGTGATGTGATCAGCCTGTGTTGCAACCCGAAGACCAAAACAGTGGCTCTGCAGCTTTCTGATGGGCAAATCCTGAAATATCTGTGGGGTATGTGTGATGTACTCCATTGGTTTGGGCTTGGAACAGAATCCGTCCTTGGTCCACCTAGGAAGGAACTGCTTAGGTCTTTGTCACCCATGAGACAGATTACCTAGTAGCCAAAGTTAATCAAAGCAGAAAATACTCCAGCTGCCTCTTCTCCCTAACAGTGAAAACAGAATTATGATACTTGGAAAATATAAACAAATAAATGTCCTTCCATAATATGCAAAACTATATGTTAGCTCAGGGGTCTTCACACTTGGCCCTTTTATGACTTGTGGACTTCAACTCCCAGAATTCCTCAGCCAGCATGCCTGGCTGAGGAATTCTGGGAGTCGAAGTCCACGAGTCATAAAAGGGCCAAGTTTGAAGACTCCTGTGTTAGTTCATATAGCTACCTCGTGTAGCCGTATTGGATGGATATGCTCTGTTTCAGTTTAAGGCAATTTCAAATGCTCAGATAACCTGAACATTCATGGGCTGATTTTGTAATTTTCTTGCAGTGTTCATGTTCCAGTTTGCCAAATCTTCTCCCCCGTCCAATTCCCAAGGCCCAGACTGCTGGACTAGAGAGAACTGCCTTTCGTTATCTTCTCAGAAAGAAGAGAAATTGCATGATAGTTCTTGTATACAGGAGCCTTGATTTGATTTGTAATGCATCTTTGGGACCCAAAACTTTGCCTGACTCTGCTTTACTATATTGTACGATGGTGCATTGTGTATGTGAAACACAACCTGCAATTTGAGGTTTATAGTAATCTCTCTGGAGATTTCAGAGCATAAAAAAATGTTGGACAGATTTTAAGTGAAGGGGGTTCCTAAGGCCCAACTATCCTACTATGTTTCTCTGGTCAGCTTCCCAAACATGTCAATTATGGCCATTCATAATCTACATGCAAAAATTTGGGGGCAGCCTCTGTTGCTATATAAGATGCCATCTTGGCTGAAACCAACACAATTTCCAGGATACGAAGCTAAATGAATTAAATTGCACTTAATAATATATATCCCCGGTTTTCCTAAAGATTGATAATCAATCCTCTCTCGCTTATCTCCAGGAGGTGAAAAACCAGTTGCCATCCCCTGGATGAATAATAATGGTTCTGCTGTTCGGTTTCCATCCCCTTGTATGCAGACAGAAGTAGCTGTAATTGATGGGGAAGTAAGTAAACAAGTATGGAACTCTTGGGCTGTGCCAATAGTCAACCATGCATCTCTCCTGGATATCTCTTGCTTAAATAACCTTTGTCTATTACTGTTTTTCCTAATCCCATTTATACATTATGAGTAGTAAAGTGCAGAACTGCTCATGGCACATAACATCTTAGGGTTAATATACTTTTAGCCATGCAGGAATTATCAGTTGTGATAAATTGGCTTGCTAAACCACTGTTGTGCCATCATAGGTAGATCTTGTTTCCTGAAGTCTTTAACTATGATTGATTGTGGAAACACCAGGAAAAGAATGAAAAAGGGACTAGACTGAGGTAGCAAGCAAGTCAATTGGCAGCTTCTCTCATAAATGGCAACATGATTTGATGGCAAGAAACTTGGGAAGAAACATTTCAAATCATTTAAAGATATGCCTCCTTAATTAACTTGCTACAAATGAGGGTGGGAAATGCCTCTTATATTTCCCAAAGTTGTGCATTTAATTCAGACTGTCCTATGGAAATCTGTATAGTTCTTGCTTCCTTGATCTTGCCTGGCTGCTTGGAGCTTGACAGAGAAGTTTGTATACTTAGTGGTCATGTTTTCTGGTCTTCAGGAGATCTACTAAGTTTATGTAGCAAACTGGAACTAGCTCTATTTCAAAAAATCCACATAGATTTTGAAATCCGTAAATTTCCATGTGAATCAGAGCAGTCATTTTTGACATAACAAAAAAGATTACGAGACTTCCGGTGGATCTGCGTTGGGTGATGGCGGCTACTTTCTAGCCGTCCTCCTGGGTAAGTGTAATGAACCGCTATGAACAGCAGACATCAGCTGTTCAGCGGTTCAAAATCCCTCTCCCGGGCAAAGGGGGGGGCAGAGGGTAGTCTGAATAGTGGTAGAGCCTCTTATGTACCCCCAATTTTCTTTTTTTGGGGGTGATAGAGTGCTCCCACGGAGTTCAGACTGTCTCCGCTTCCCAGCTGCTTTTGTCCTTGGGACAAAACAAGCCCTCGCAGCCACCTCCGCGTTTAAAATGATCTAGTGAGTTTTTTTTAAGAAGCGGACAGAGTTGTTTAGAGGATTTATTTTTTTGCTTTCCTTGACTTTATAGGTATTTTAAATTTAAAGGTTTATTCTTTTGTTATAGTCTTTCTTTTTATTTTTTGCTTTTTGCTGAAAGGGAAAGTAAAATGGCGATCGGCAGACTTTCTAGCGTTTTTTTTTCGGAAAGTTAGAATGGCGATCGGCTTTTTTACCTTCTCTCTTTTTTCTTTCTTCTTTTTAAGGAATTTTTGTTGTTTAATTTTCTAAACATTATTGTTCTGGTCTGATTTTTTGTTTTTGCTTTTTGTATTTTTAAAAGGCAGGCATTTTGGTTTTCCCCCCCCCCTTCTTTTTTTCACTTTAACGATTGGAGTGTATATTCTAATTTCTTTTATTGATTTATTTTTCGCCTTCTTTGATTTTATTTTAAATCCAAAGGTTTATTGTTTTGTTTATAGTCCTTTTTTTCTACTATTTGCTTTTCTGTTGAAAGAGAAAGCAAATGGCGATCGGGAGATCTTCTAGCGTTTTTTTGGGAAGCTAGAGTGGCGATCGGCTTTTTTTTTACTTTCTCCTTTTTTTTTCTTTTTAATGATGGATTTTAGAAGTATTATTATTGTTTTGGTTTGATTTGTTGCTTTGTCTTTTGTATTTTTTGTTTTGCTTCTTGTAAAGGGCAGGCATTATTTTTAAAAGGCAGGCATTTTGGTTTTCCCCCCCCCCTTTTTTTTTTCCTACTTTAATGATTGGAGTGTATACTTTAACTTTTTGTTTTGGTTTGATTTGTGGTTTTGTCTCTTGTATTTTTAAAGGGCAGGCATTCTGGTTTTTTCCTTCCCCTTTTTCTTTTTTTTTTTTTTTCATTTTGTATATCTTAATTTTTTTTATTTTTTTTTTCTTCTTTTCTAACTCCCTTTTTTTTTTATTCTTTTATTTTTTTTATTATTTTAAAGATTTTTCTTTGAGGGAGTTATGATTTTCTTTTGAAGGAATTTTTGTAATTTTTAAGAAGGAGTAAAGTTTTTTTTTAAGATGGCTCCAAAGCGTCCAGTGAATTTCACAGTTCCTAAATCTTCTGTGGCTCAGCCAACAACTGTGAAGGATATGCAACAAATGATGGAAAATTTTACAATTCAAATTAGGGCAGAAATGAAAAAGATTTTGGAAGAAAATAATAAGATTTTGAGGCAAGACATAGTTTTGGCTCTAAAAGGAGTTGCTTCTGTTCTTGAAAAGTTGAATTCCCATGTGGAAGAAGTAGCTGAAAAAGTGGAATTAATGGAGGGGAAAATTGAAAGTATGGAAAAAGAAATGGAAAATGAGATTCTTATGCTTCAATATGGTCAAATGGAATACGCCTTAAGAATTAGGGGCTTGGAAGAGTCCTTGCAAGAAGATCTGAAAGAGATGGTTGCAAAGGACTTTGCCGTAATTTTGAATAAAGAAAAAGAAGGAATACTTAGTGAAATTGAAAAACTATTTAGAGTTAATTCTGCGGTGGCAGTACAAAAGAATTTGCCAAGAGATGTGGTAATTTACTTTGGGAAGAAATCTTTACGCAATGAAATTATACAAGCTTTTTATAAGAAGAGATTTCAAATTGCTTCACAAGATGTTATAATTTTAAAGGAGATCCCATCTAAAATTTTAAGAAGAAGAAAGGAGTTTGCCTTTTTAGCAAATGAACTTAAAATGAGACGAATTTCGTTTAGATGGGATGTTCCGATTGGAATGGTGGTGAATTACCTGGGAATATGTTATAGACTTAATACTGTTTCTCAAGCAAAAGATTTTTATACTTCAGTATTGGGGGTATGTTCATCTCCATCTATTAAGTTCAAGACTTTGGAAGAAATGGATGTAGAATTACAGTTTGAAGACTCTAAAATTGGGCAACCCCTGTTTAAGAGATCTCAACATGTTCAGATTGAGGAGCAGGAGACAACCTGTGTAGCACAAAACTGTGAAGAAAAGCAGCAACTGAAGAAGAGTAATGAAATTTCACACCTAGTGATTGCTGATTCTGTGAGAGAAGCAAGACCCATAAATCCTTTGGAGCAATCTTCAAGGATTGAAGGGTCACTTGAGATGAAAAAGGGGAAATTTCAGCCTGAGGGGCGTCAACAAGTTGAGAAGAAGGGGCAGAGGAAAATCTGTGCAACATATAATTGTAAAGAAAAAGACCAACAGAATAAGGAGCTTAAGGAATCCCCACATGTACTGGCTTCTGAGTCATTGGGAGACTCAGAAAATTTGGAGCAGCTTTTGAGGACAGATCCTAAAGCATTTGTTTTAAGTTTTATAACGAAAATGGACAATCGAGGCTGACGATAATAATATCAGTATGATAATGAATGGAGAATGAAAATGGACAATTGAGATTGATAAGGACTGGGTTTTTTGTGGTTGCAACTTGTTATTGATGAAGATTTGAATATCTATTGTGTTTATGGTGGATGGAATTTGTTATAGTGTTTTTTGTGGGTGGAATTTGTTATAAACTGTCTACTTTGGATGGAATCTGATAAGATTTAAATGAGTATAAAGGTGTCTTGTTTCCTTTTTTCCCTCTTTAAGTTTTAAGTAATGTATAAATTTGTGTTTTGGGGGAGTTTATGAAAATGATAATAATATTTATGATATTAGAAGGATTGGAGTATATTACAATGTGTTTAGTGTTTGGGTGGGGTTTTTAATGTTTAAAGTTTTAAGTAATGTTCAGATTTGTGTTTTTGATTGATTATAATTTGTTTGTTTTAATGTTTCAAGTTCTGATTGTTTAAATTTGTGTTTTGGAGGGACTATAACTTGTTTAACTAAATGTATTTAGATTTGTTTATGATTTATGTTAGATTTTATATTGTAGTTATAGATGTTTAAAGAAAGTAGTGTTTAAAATTGGTCTTGGAAGAAATTTATGTAGAAGGATGGATAATATTATAAGTAAGATTAGAAGATTTCTAGAGTATATTATAATGTGTCTATTATTATTTTCTAGAAATAATTCATTTAATTTAAGGTATTTAGGATTGTTTAGGATTTATAGGTGTTTTAAGTTTTATATGTGTTTTAAGTTTTTTTTCTTTTTTTTCTTTTGAAATATTTTGGATAAGCCTGTAATCAATTCTGGGAGGTTCAGGGGAGGGTTAGGGAGGTTTGGGGCTGGGGGAGGGTATGGGTGGGTGGGCGGGTTTGGGGAGGGGATTTATTTTGTAAAATGTTAAAAATTTTCAATAAAAAAAAAAAAAAGATTACGTGAGAAACAAGAGGGAAAGTCAAGGAAGCAGTGTGTCTTCTGGCTGGAGAACATGAGAAAATGTATCAGGCAACAGGAGGAAGGCTGAACTACTTAATTTCTATTTTACTGTGTTTTTGCTAGAGGAAAAAGTGATGCAGCCTGTCAGAAGCTACACCAGCTAGGAGAGTGTTTTATGTCAATACTGTACCTTGAAAATTCTACAAAAGATAATTGAGCAGAGACTGCAAGCACTTAGAAAGGAGTAAAGCGATTACTTGAAGCCAGCATGTTTGTTAAAAATAAGTTGTGTCAATGTAATAATATCATGTTTTTTGAACTTAGTGACTAAATTACAAGCTAATGCTGTAAATGCAATGTTCTTAAACCTCAGTAAGTGGCTTGATAAAGTTGGCCCTAACACACATAATGCTGCTTCCTCCTCTTCTTCTTCCCCACAACAACAATTCTGTGAAGTAAGTTAGGCTGAAGGAGAGTAACTGGCCCAAAGTCACCCAGCTGGCTTTCATGCCTAAGGTGTGAAACTAGAATTCACAGTGTCCTAGTTTCTAGATCAGCACCTTAACTATGACACCAAACTGGTACTCAGCAGAATTAAGAGCATTGATATAATTCTGGGTTTTGGTTTGCTTGTTCTGTTTTCTAACTCTGGTTTCCATTCTGCTTTTCTTTCTTAGGAAACCATATTTGGCTTGACTGACAGATGTCGTTTTTTTATTAATGATACTGAGGTACGGATTGTTCTCATGGCTTTATGTCATCTGCTATGTCCATAATCCTTTAATGTCCTCCCAATCAACTGGCAGTTTGATTCTCTGCTTTTTGTAGGTTTCTTCAAATATTACGTCCTTTTCAATCAGTGATGAATTTCTCTTACTGACCACACATTCTCATACTTGTCAGTGCCTGCCTATAAGGAACACATCCCTGAAAGGTAAAATCACAATTTCTTATCTCTTGACCATGTGCACCCTCCTCCAGCTGTGTTTGTTCAATTATGAAAAGCCATTGCTTGTGATTTGTCCAAGATCCTGTTGGACTTCTGCATTTTTATGGTCATTCACTTTTTTCCATGGGAGAGTAGCAAGGAATGCTACTGAATGATGAACCTGGCCAGCCCCAAACTTTACAATCCCATTTTCAAAATGCCAGTTGAAATGTTGGAACATTCTGCTGTATGCAGATTGCAAAATATTGTCAGAATGAAGGTTATTTATGGTGTTTCATCCTGGCCTTGCCTTCCTTTGCTTCATTTCCTGTGTACCCACACACTTCAGCTTGTCTACACCCAAGAGAATGTAGGGATTGAAGGGATACAGAATGCATGTTATTGGGCAGGTGCATATAGCAAGGTGCCCAAATACAGCCACCTATTTCTTTGCACAGATTTGATGGGTGGATATATACACATTTACATAGGAATAGGGCAGGTAAAATGGAGGAAGAAGTAGAGTGCTTTTATTTATTCAACAATGTCACTTTTCCCAAAATGATCAGGGTATTCTTTTTACCTATTAGACAATGGACCTTATTAAGATATAAGTTCTTAAGAAGAAATCTCAGTCCAGTTAAGGTTTTGGTCATGTTTGTGTCCAACTTCACCATAGGAAGGACATAATGTTTGAGTTCAGACCATACTGGTTTAATTGCAGATAGTGTCTTCATGACATTATAAGTTCTCTCTCTCTCTGGGAAACAAAGAAATATTAATGTTCACATCACTGAGTACCACTACAATTGATCCTGAGGAGGTGGGGAAGGAGTAACCTGAATAATTCTTAAATATATATTCCTAGTTAACAGTTCCGTGATGAAACTTTACTCCTCAAGATCAGACACGGGGACTTTCTAGTCATATTCCAAATTACTACCTAGGGTTTTTACTGCTGCCTTTAATGATTTCATACTTTAGTTTTGAGTGCATTTCTATCCTATTCATACAAGCTAATAGAGCTTTGCAATTTTGAGGCTGGGCTTGTATGTTATTGACTGTGGCGCCTTCAGCTTTGCAAACAGGTCTGGGCAGCACTTCTCTCCCGAATAGCGAGACTCTGCGGAAGATTGAAAGAGGATCCCGGATAGTCACAGTTGTGCAACAACACACAAAGCTGATATTACAGGTTAGTGCTTTTTCTTTGTACACACACCAAAAAATGATTGTACAGAGGAAAAGACTAAATTTACTTAGTCCTTTATTTTTCAATGAAAACGAAATTGAAATACTCCTGTCAGCCATCTGGCTGTTGTTGCAGTATATCTTTTGGGCAGCAGCCTCATCTATACTATCAGATATCTGCTCGTAAGGAAAAACAGTAGGTTGGATGGAATAAAGAAGAGCGTTAATTCAAGCATAGGGCATCACCTTATTCATAGTCTGATGTAGCACAATCTATCAGAAATCATAATGTGTGATTTTCCTGCTCATATGAATTGGCCTAGATCAGGGGTAGGCAACCTTAGCTCTTTTATGACTCGTGGACTTCAACTCCCAGAATTCCTGAGCCAGCATTTTATGGCTCAGGAATTCTGGGAGTTGAAGGAAATCTGGGAATTGAAGTCCACGAGTCATAAAAGAGCCAAGGTTGCCTACCCCTGGCCTAGATAGATAGAGATCTATTTCATCTCCTATTAGGGGTAGCTTTATTTTATAAGATAAATGTGTTCCTAAAGGAGGAGCAAAAAGATACGGTTGTTGTGTCTCATTCCATATGGAGACTTCAGAGTCGGGGTTTCAGCAAACAGATGTGCAGGACATGCAGAATGGCCTGAAGTTCAGTAAATGCTCAGCTAGAAGTATTTTTATTGATTTATTTAGCATATAATCATCATTTTCATTAGCATGTTCAACAGGACCAGTAGATTTTATGAGTTCCACTCCAATCTGCTATTGGAGAATGGAAAACTTGATGCTCCTTGTACTAAAGGTGTTGTCAAGTAGCTACAGATTGGTAAGAGCCCTCTGTGGGTCCTCCTCTGCTTTATAGTGAATTTATGCTGGGCTCTCTACAGGTGCCAAGAGGAAACTTGGAAACTATTCATCATCGAGCCCTTGTTCTAGCTCAGGTTCGCAAATGGCTGGATAGGTGAGTTGAGCTGACTACCTTCCCTAGGTGTTGGCCTCAGAGAGGCTGCGTAACCTGAGGTTTCCGCCATCACGTTGGAACTGACGAACTCTGTTCTGCCTCTCCTGCTAGCCTCCAGTTTAAAGAAGCGTTTGAATGTATGAGGAAGCTGCGAGTCAATCTCAACCTGTTCTACGACCACAATCCGAAGGCGAGTAGAAGCTCTCGGCTTAGTTGGCATCTTCTGAAGGGATGGCAGATAAACCGGAAAGGGATTCCTGTGAACTCAAATGATAGTCTTTCAGGATGAGGACAGAGAGATGGCACCTCTGTTTCTGCCACCACTTGTTCTTTAAAGAGTCATCAATAAATTCACCAAACTCATAATGGGTTAATGGCATGGAGGGTGGTTAATATATCTATATCAGTGGTGGCCAACCTATGGCACGGGTGCCAGAGGTGGCAATCAGAGCCCTCTCTATGGGCACATGTGCCGTTGCCCCAGCCTCGCCTCCCTCCACAACCCCCTCCTCACTAGCAGCCCCCCTGGAGGAGAGTTGCCCCCAAGCGTGGCCCACACGGAGCAGTGCAGCCAAGGACATGGCAGCCAGGCAGCGTAGACAAGACTGTGCCCTCTTGCACAGTTGATGCTGCGAGGCGCAGGCAGAGGGCATGGCCACCATGGCACTACTGGGCTGCCTGGGCGATCTGCGGCGGGCCCTGGAGGCGGTGAGTGGCCCTGCGGGCAGGCGGGTGGGGGACGGGGGCGGGGCAGGGGATGGAGTGGGGGTGGGGCCAGTTTTTGGGCACTCGGTCTCTATATGATCAGGAATAGCTCTGAAGCAAGATATAGACTTGATTAGATCCTAAGACATTCCCTATTTTTTAATCAAAGTTAGTGGATTGGGAAATCTTGCTGTTATCACAACACAATATAATTATTTTCCAATATGTAGAGTGGTTACACGGGAATGATTCAGGTTTTTCCATCAGAACTTGGGAGGGATGAAAGACACTTCATTATGGTATTTGGAGTATTTTTTTCCATTTTAAATAGATGCTTGTGCAGCATATGGCAGTTTAATGAAAATTTAATGATGTTTGCTTTCTTTTCAGGCTTTCTTAGATCATGTGGAAACATTTATAAAACAAATTGATTCTGTAAATTATATCAACCTGTTCCTCATGGAACTGAAGTGAGTATTGGTTTGCTTAATAATAAGGTTGACTTTTAATACAGAGCGTTAATGGTATCTTACACTTTGAGGAGGGTTTTGAAATGGTGAAAGGGGTTAGGAGTACTTCCTTCCAGTTAGTAATCTTTCTGTTTTAAAATTTGCTCTCTTTGGTGTCAGAAAAAGAAATGGTACTATAAATGATTTTTCCATCACCATCAAAGCTACTCTGTGTTTTTAAAAAGAGACCTTGGCTTTTTTAAATGCATGAATATGCAAGACACAATTAGATTCCATCCAACTCCAGCAAATATTTAATATGATGAGTGAGATTGACATAAGTTAAAACTATATGAAGCGAAAAAGAACAAAATAATCTGGACTATCCATAGGAATTGAGGCAAAGTTCCCAGCTGAAATGCCATTCATATATGCTGGATTAAAAATCTAGTGTTACTGCCTCCCCAGCCAATGATCATGTTAAGAGTTATGATCCAGTATATCGAGAGGGACTTGGGTTGAGTAATGCAAGGCTAGATTAGTGAAGAGAAGAAATGGAATATTTTGGTTGAAACTTGATAAGCTCACATATTGTTTGGGAATAATGGGGACGTTATCAAAGTAAATGTTAAGAGAGAATTCTGTTTCTTTAACATTTAAATATATTTAATTTCTGAACCAAGATTTTGCAATCTGCCCAAATTCTTGTAACTTTTGTGATTTCTTCTGTGGTTCTCTTATTTATTTATTTATTTATTTATGAGACTTATATACCGCTTTAAGTGCAAGCACTCTTTAAGCGGTGTACACCAGTAAGCAATGTATATATATATTTACATTGCCCCCAACAATCTGGGTCCTCATTTTACCTACCCCAGAAGGATGGAAGGCTGAGTCAACCTTGAGCCGGTGAGATTACTTGAAAAGAAGTAAAATTTATAGAAAAGGAACTGAAAGATGATATGAGTGAGGCTGAAATTCTTTTCTCTGTCTATTGGCTTGGCTTGTGAGATATTTGTAGGTTTGGTTGCACTTTTTCAAGAAAACTATGGATGTTCTAAGGCTGTGGTGGCGAACCTATGGCACGCATGCCACTGGTGGCACGCAGAGCCCTCTCTGTGGGCACGCAGGCCATTACCCCAGTCCTAGGCCTTCAGCTGGCCTCTGCCTCATGTGCAAAAAAAAATGTGCAATCAATCAATCAATTTCAACTTCTCGTGGGGGAAAAAAGATCTCGGAAAGTTGGAATTGATTGATTGAACTTTTTAATCCCACCCAGTGTGCCGTTACCACTGTAGCCACGCCCACCCAATGGGCCACGCCCACCCAATGGGCCACGCCCACCCAGCACACAACGATACATAAGTGGGTTTTGGGTTGCAGTTTGGGCACTTAGTCTCTAAAAGGTTCGCCATCACTGTTCTAAGGGATAGGAATTGTATTAATAAAAGCTGAGTTTTGTGACCAAACACTTTGTTTCTTATTTTTGAGGAACCATAGCATATAGTTGGCTCTACTAAATTTTTTAATTAATATTATTGCCTGACACCATTACACTGTGTTTACATATATTTGCTTTGTAAATATCGTAAGATCATTTTTTCCCCTTTTGTAGAGAAGAAGATTTCACAAAAACAATGTACCCCCCTCCAGATCCTACCGGTGTCAATGAATTGCATTGTTCCAATAATAAAAAGATTAATCTCATCTGTGATGCCATGAGACAAGCAATGGAGAACATCAATGCAACTAAGTAAGAGACATAAAATTATAAAACATCTACATATACAAAGGCAGTATCAGTACACTATCACATTTTTAACAAGTGGTAACAAAGCGCAGGATGCAGTCCCATATTTAGGGAAAGTCTTAATGATGGTCCTCCTTCATAAAGCAGCTCAAGCGCAAGAGTTATGAAAAGGGAAGACATATCTCTCTTTCCTCACTCTTTACAGGTGATGGACCTTCACCAATTGAAAAAGAAAGAATGGTACTTCTGACTTAAAGAGTAGGAAGCGTATTGTGTCTCTTTTCTGGTCTGTCAAGACACGCTGCATTCATATATGCTGTGCCAGACTTTTAAAATAGTTCTCCAATCTTTCAACACATAGATAATTCAACCACATTTTCAACTGGGAAATTGTGGACAGTTTCAATCAAGTCAAATTCAAAACTGCTAAGAAATTCCTGGAAAGGTGGCATTCTAACCATCAGCCACCAACAGATGTATAGAGATGAACCCCATCTACATGCCATTAAAAGATGTAACCAAAACTCAAGGAAGACGGCCCAGAGCACCTCATCCCTAGAAGTCAACATTCAAATAAGCAGGAAACAGCGGCAGATAAACAAAAGATAGTACTAGTCAATGAACCATTAAGGAATATTGGAATTGGAATACTGCATCCAGTTTTGGTCACCACGATGTAAAAAAGATGTTGAGACTCTAGAAAGAGTACAGACAAGAGCAACAAAGATGATTAGGGGACTGGAGGCTAAAACATAAGGAATGGCTGCTGAAATTGGGTATGTCTAGTTTAATGAAGAGAAGGACCAGGGGTGACACGATAGCAGTGTTCCAATATCTCAGGGGCTGCCACAAAGAAAAGAGAGTCAAGCTATTCTCCAAAGCGCCTGAAGGCAGGACAAGAAGCAATTGGTGGAAACTAATCAAGGAGAGAAGCAACCTAGAACTAAGGAGAAACTTCCTGACAGTTAGAACAATTAACCAGTGGAACAACCTGCCTCCAGAAGCAGTGAATGCTCCAACACTGGAAATTTTTAAGAAAAGACTGGACAGCCATTTGTCCGAAATGGTATAGGGTTTCCTGCCTGAGCAGGGGGTTGGACTAGATGACCTCCAAGGTCCTTTCCAATATTATTATTATTATTATTATAGAAATCACACCCCAGAGCAAACTCCTATACATTCACAGGTACAAACGTCGCTCTTCCATACACTGATGGTGTTACCTCACTTAGTGATTAAATGTGGACAGCATAAGTGTCTAACCTTTTGGCTTGCCTGGGCCGCATTGAGCGAAGAGGAATTGTCTTGGGTCGCATACAAAATATGTAATACAATTAATGAATATAAGTAACAAACTTCCTTTAAAAGTTGACAATCTTGTGGGGCCAAGTTACTGGCTGTCTAGGGTCGCACACATTGATGCAAGCCAATGCCTGTTCAGAATGGAAAGTAGGTTTGGGAAAAGAAAACGAGGCCTTTTTTCCAGGTTAATAGCTCAAGGATGGTCCTGCAAAATTCTATTTGTTTTATTGGTCTCTAAATCAAATAGCCATTTTTAAACATTTCTGGATTGACTTCCAATAGAATTCAGTAGCAATCCTACATCATTCAGAATTGTCATGAGAGATTTTTTTTTTTTTTTTTAATCCCAAACGGTCAAGTTCCCCATTTTTAACTCTTCCTTTTTCTCCCTGGACTCTTTAGGTACTGCTTAGCCATACTGACTTCTCATGTCAAAAAGAGTCCTCCAGAACTGGAAACAGCCCTGCATAGAATTCGTCAGCTTCAAGGTGCAGTATTAGATTGTTTAGTTGAACAGAACTCTTATGACTACTTAAATCATAATTCAAATAATCCAGTGTGCTAGAGCATACCTTCTCCCCAATTTCAACTTTGTTGTATGGGAGTTAAGTAAACATCAGGAATGGAGTTTCAAATGACAGCCAAATTAATATTGTGGTTTATTCTACTCAAGCAAGGCAGATTAATAAGCCAGTACACACACACACACACACACACACACACACACACACACACACACTAAATATACAATGTGTGTAGCTTTATGGCTTTTCTATTTTATTCTTTGAACTATGGTTTACAAACTTTATCAAATTACTGAGTGACATAAATCTATACTGCATAGAGAATAAAGATGAACGAAGGCAATTCGGAAATAAACCTCCATTTGGTTATCAATGACAAGACACTTGGAGATACAGAACTTTTATTATACACATTAGAAAACTACAACATTACATTACTTTTTGATATAATCGCCATTCAAATTGAGGCACTTGTCATAACATCTTTCAAATTCCTTAGTAGTAGTTGTTCAGCATCAAATCTGGCCTATGGGGGGGTAGTGATGAAAAACATCCCAACGGAACTGCTTCAAAAGTTCTTGGGTGTATCTAGCGTTCTACGGGTGAGCATTATCATGAACCAACACCACACCGGAAGTGGTGCCATAGAAAATCCCGCCAAATGTGAAGATGCTAAAGGAGTACTGCAAGTGAAGTTAATGGAGCGTGGTTTGACCATCAATTCAGAAGTCTACTGTGAAACGTTACGAAAACTCAGATGAGCCATCCATAACAAGCATCAAGGCCTGCTGACTTCCGGTGTGGTGTTGGTTCACAATAATACTTGTCCGCACACCGCTAGATGCACCCAAGAACTTTTGGAGCAGTTCCATTGGGATGTTTTTGATCACCCCCCCCCCATGGCCCACATTTGGCACTGAGCGACTACTAGTAAAGAATTTCAAACTTTGTAAAACGTTATGACAAGTTCCTCAATTTGAATGGCGATTATGTTGAAAAGTAATGTAATGTTGTAGTTTTCTAATATGTATAATAAAAGTTCTGTATCTGCAAGTGTCTGTTATTGATGACCAAACGGAGGTTTATTTCTGAGTTGCCCTCATGTATATATTTGTTTTCGTAGATTTTCACGGGTATAGGTATGCAGGTCTTGGCACATTCAGGTCTTTTCTCGTGTAAAATTGAGAGTATCTTGGCGACGTTTCGACGAGGTCCCACTCGTCATCTTCAGGCTGCGGTCTTCGGCTTCGTGCTTGTGTGAGCAAAGTGTGATCGGAGCTGCCGTCTATATATATATTGGTGGGGGTTGTGGAGTGTTGGCTTAGTTGCTGTAGGTGGATTGGTTGGCTGTGTAGGAGTATTGTTTGTGGATTGTTTGGCTGTTTCGTAACATCCTGAGTAGTTGAGATGCTGGCTGTGTGCCCATTAGTCTTTTGTGTTGTAACGACCTGGGTAAAGGGTTGTGTGATGACATCCTGAGATCTAGTGTAGTGGTATCCTGAGTTCTGTGTTGCACCATCCTGGGTGGTTGGCTGTGTTGTAACATCCTGAGCTTTGGCGTTGTAGCCTCCTGAGTTCTGTGATGTGATGTCCAGGGCTGAAGGCTGTGAAGTAACATAGCGGGCTTTGGTTTGGCTCCGAGTTTGCGGTCTAGCTCTGTGTTCATAGCGTGTGTCCGTTTGCTTTGTGTGGGGGTCGGAGGGAGGTGCAGCAGCTGGTGATGTCGTGGTTTGGCTTCTGGATGGTGGTTGCATTTCGTCTGAGGGATGGGTTTGGGCTTGGGTTTGGGTCTGGTGAGGGTGAATGGTGGTAGCGTACTGTGTTATTCTGGGTCCGGTGTCAGTTTTCGTGGCTAGGACTCGTTTGTTGATTAGGGCTAGTTTCCAGATGTCTGGTAGGCGGGAGGTATCGTCACGTGGAAGCCATCGAAATAGAAAAACACCCCCACAACATGAATAAATGTGACGATACCTCCCGCCTACCAGACATCTGGAAACCAGAACCGGACCCAGAACAACACAGAACGCCACCACCATTCACCCTCACCAGATGGAGATGATCTTATTTTGGGGGGGGGGTTCATTCAATGCCCAGTCACTCAAAGCAAGGTACCGATGAAGTCCAAAGTATCAGTTTTCACTTCCTTCCCCTCAAGATATCTGCCAGGTTAAAGGCATTCCCTACAAACCCTATATGGAAGAGGATAGGAAAAAAATAGCAGGAATTGATAACTGGCAGTTCTGATTCAAGGATGTAATCACTACAAAAGGAGAAAGCACTTCAATGTATTTATCAGAGAAGTAATCTCTGCATTGCCTATTAGCAAAAATAGCACTCTTTTGCCCAAAGTTAGAGTTTGCTCTGTTTTTTCTGGGTAAGGTTTTGCTTTTTCAGCATTGAATTCTTGAAAACTGAACCCATATGGTACATGAAAACAATGCCTGGCTTTTAATTAAAATTAATCTTAACAGGACAGACGTCAGAAACAATTGGATCTGTCAGAGTAGAAGAAGCATTGAAATACCTGCTGTATCTGGTGGATGTCAGTGAACTGTATGATTATTCATTGGGGACATATGACTTTGATTTAGTCATCATGGTTGCTGAGAAGTCTCAGAAGGTAGGATTGGATCCTATTCCCATTCCATTGATCTTGATCTAGCTAAGTTATGAGAAAAATTGCAAAAGGCATTCAAGAACTGCCACGACCACCACCACCGCCACTCAATCTCTTCAGCGTTTGTAAAATACAGAAACTTGTACATTAAGTGCAAGTCTTAACAATTACCTGTTTTTCAGATTTGCTTGTTCTGTTGCTCAGCCACGTTATTCCATTTCTTTGGCCATTTGGCTGTTTAATTAGATTGTCAGCAATGGCTCATTCTTCTGGCTGAATGTGCATAAGAGAGAGAGAGAGAGAGAGAGAGAGAGAGAGAGAGAGAGAGAGAGAGAGAGAGAGAGAGAGAGAGAGAGAGAACGAGAACACATTTGTAGTTTCCATAATATCAAACGTACCAGTGTGGTGTCATCAACAAACCATGTATGATTTCATAGCTAATAGAATAAAGTACAGGCAGTCCTCGTCTTACAGTGGTTCATTTAGTGACCGTTCAAAGTTACAACAGCCCTGAAAAAAGTGACATGACTGTTTTTCAGTTAGGGCCTTTCCAGCCTCCCCATGATCACGTGACCAAAATTCAGTTGCTTGGCAACTGGTTCATCCCAGAGTCACGTGATCCCTTTTTGCAACCTCCTGACAAGCAAAGTCAATGGGGGAGCCGGATTCACCTAACAACAGGGTTGCTAACTTTTCAACTGCAGCGATTCACTTAACAACTGAGGCAAGAAAGATCATAAAATGGGGGCAAAATTCACTTAAATGTCTCACTTCACAACAGAAATGTTGGGCTCATTTGTGATCGTAAGTGAGGACTACCTGTGTCCACAAGCAAAATGAAGAACGAGAGAAATGGCTCAGAAAACAACATCAAATGTGTTTGTAACAAGTAGCAAAAATTAGAGTTTGGTGCCCCCCCCCCCTTCATGCGAAGATAAGCATGCTGTTGCAATGTTTTTTAACTACTCTGGCAATTCAGGCCTAATACCGGTCATTTTTTATTTATTTATTTGCAGGATCCTAAGGAATATCTTCCGTTTTTAAACAAACTTAAGAAAATGGAAATCAATTATCAGCGATATTCAATAGACAAATATTTGAAGCGATATCTGAAGGCTCTCTACCACCTTAGTAAATGTGGTAGGTACATTGGAAATGTGACCCCACCCCACCCCCCCCAGACAGAAAGTCATGAATAAGCAACACTTTTTTTTTAAGCATTATAATACTGCTTGGAAATGACAGAAAATGCTGATGGTCAACCTTTTTTGTAAACGTGATGGGGAAGTCACGGAGGAAAGGCTCTGAACCCATGGAAGAGCACGTACGCTGCCCATCGTGCTTTAGGGAAGGTTTTGAATCAGCTCGCTGGAAACTGTGAGGAGAGAATTAGTAAAGAGGGAGGAGATCTTTTCAGGCCAATTGGTATGTTTGGAATATTGAGGATGGATCCCTGTAGCGGACTCATGCATTAAAAAATGGTTGCCAGGGAGATGTAGAACATAAAACCCCATGAATTACAAGATGAGTCAGCTCCCCCAGTTGCTTCTAGCTTCTTCTTTGTTTAAAAGATCTGGGGGGGGGAGGGGTTAATGGATAAGTGGTTGCCAAGGGAGATGCAAGCAAGTAATTTGAGCTTTCCAAAACCACAGGTCTGATATATTTGTACTATGCAGTCAACTAGATTTGAAAAAAAGAAAAATAAAAGATTTAAAGTATGTACGACATGATTCGGAGTGCAAACTGTTGAAACTGTTTCCTGGATTGGGGCAGCTTAAAAGTTGCAGTTTAAAATAAAAGGGTCATCCCAGTGAATCCAAACTGGGTCCCACAGACCTATGCAAAGCTTTGCCTCTTCAGTGTCAGAAGAAAATGTCTGTTGTTTTTCTCAGGCTCAGAACATTTTCCAGAGCTCCTAAATTTGGTGGTTGACCAGAATTTGTATAAGGAAGCCCTCAAGCTCTATTTGCCAGGCACACAAGAATACAAGGTACACAAATAGTTTTCCATCCATCTTTACTTGCTGTCCTTTACCGATGAGAGCAGGCGACTGCACTCAAGTCATAAAATACACGCTGCACACTGGCAGATATCTTTCTCTGAATATTTCCTTTGTTTCTCAAACCCAGAGTACTTTCGCTAGAAGTTCCTCTTACATAAAAGTTTGGTTTGTGACTTCGGGTTCGTGTAAGCTTTTAAATGCGATCTGTTGTCTTTCGAATTAGAGAAGAAATCTGATCTGCAAAAGGGTTCCCTTAGAAATCTGCCAGGGATTCCTCATTAAAAGGTTTCATAAAGCAAAATGAATCCTCTGATAGTTTTTCCATGCATAGTGTTGCATCAGTCTTCCCCCCGAATGTGCAATGGAAGGACTAGCAAAATGCAAAAACATAGCTCTGGCAGACCTTCAGACGCTTCCCAATCTCGCCTACACGTAGGGTAGGTAGCCTGTGCAGCTCCTTTGCAGATGAGTAACAGAATGCTCACTTTTCAGTTCCACTTACACATCTGCCCATTGTCTAGAAAAACAGCCAAGAACAATCAGCTCTTTGATTTGAGACAAGGCCTGGGACCCTTTCCCTGTAACTATATTTTGCAGACCATCAGCTATGCCTATGGAGAATATTTAATCCAGAAGCATCTCGCCGGACAAGCCGGGCTGATCTTCTTCCGATGTGGTGCCTTTGAGAAAGCTCTGGATGCTTTTTTGATCAGTGGCAACTGGCAGCAGGCCCTCTGTGCAGCTGCTGAACTTTGTTACACTGAAGACAAGTTGGCCAGCCTGGCAAGGAGTATGGCAGGTGAGCATCCATGTTATCCTAAACCTCTCTCCAAATTTGGCATCCTCATGTTTTTATTTGTATTATCTTTTTACTGTTTATTTTCCTTTCCAAAAGCATAGAGGTGGTGGTTAAAAATGTTGTTCATTCTTAATAGATAGTACAGTTGGCGTGCACGGCACTTGGCAGAATCATTTAAGAACCAGAGCAAGAAAAAGAGGGGAATGTACTCTGAGGAACTCTGGGAAATTGGGGAGGCCTGGAAAACAAAGATAAATATCTGCAAACAGATGAACCCATTGCTAAACTTGCAATTAGTTCCACGAAGTTAATTTTGCTTGTATATCGATCAACACATAAAAACTCATTCAAACTGTGACATAGCCAAAGGCATCTTACCTGTCATGTCTTATTTATTTATTCATAGATTTATATGGCTTTATATGGCTGCTGTTAGGTTTATATATGACTCAGTATATGACTCAGGGCAGCTAACAGTGCTAAAAATGATAAAAGCATATGCGAAAACAAAAATAAAAACCCGTAGCAGACAAGGAGTTATAAAAAAAAAACAATTGCAGTCAAAACAACCAGGAGACGGGGTTCATTACACACCCAGGGCCCCAGGCATGAATACAGAGCCAGGTTTTCTTGTGCAAAGCTTACAGGGATGGCCCAGTCTGATCTCCAAAGGGACGATATTCCAGTGAGCGGATGCCAAGACAGAAAAGTGTCTTTTCCTGGGGCCTGATAACTGGCATTCCCTGCCCTCTCTTGCCTGACCAGATAGGACAGGTAGAAACAGCCGGAGAGAGATGGTCCCATAAGCAGTGCTTTTTTTTTCTTTTTAAAAAAAAAAGGTGCTCGAACTCACACACGTCATACAACCTGCCTTGCCTACCCTACAAGGTTCCATCCAAAAAAGGTGCCGGAACTCCGTTCTGGGTGTTCTATGAGGAAAAAAAGCCCTGCCCATAAGTAATCTGGTTTCGAGCCATGAAAGGCTTTAAAGGTGACTACTAGGACCTTGAATTGCACCTGGAAGCATACCAGTGGCCATGCAACCCACACAACAATGGTGTCACATGCTAAAATACAAGACCCACTAACTGCCTGTGTCACTATACAGCAGCGGTTCTCAACCTATGGGTCGGGACCCCATTTGGAGTCAGTCGACCATTTCACGGGGGTCGCCAAGCAAGGCTGTCCGCCATTTTTTCCCCCCTTTTCCGGTGGGTGCCTTATCTCCCTTGGGCTGGGCCAGCTGATGGCCCATCCGGTGGTCGGCCTGCTCCGTCTCTGCCACTTGACAGCTACGTCTTGGCCGGCACAGGGGGCAGCACCACGCATGCGCAGCGCTCCCGGACAGGGAAAGTCCTTGACTTACGACCGGTTGGGTAATCCTCGACTTATGACCGGTTTAGTCCTCGACTTACAACCGGTTGGGGGTCGCAGCATTAAAAAGGTTGAGAACCACTGTTATACAGGTAGTTCTCGACTTCCAGCAGTTCTTTTAGTGACCGTTTGAAGTTACAATGCCACTGAAAAAATGCCATTTTTCACACTTGATGACCATTGTAGCATCCCCGGGATCACGTGATTTACTTTCGGACGCTTGACAACTGGTTCATATTTATGACAGTTGCAGCATATCCCGGAGTCACATGACCACCTCTTGCAGCCTTCTGACATGCCAAGTCAATGGGGAAGCCAGATTCACTTAGCAACCAGGTTACTAACTGAACAACTGCAGTGATTCACTTAACAACTGTGGCAAGAAAAGTGCTAAACGGATAAAACTCACTTAACACACTTCTCAGTAACATACATTTTGGGCTCAATTGTGGTCGTATGTTGAGAACCACCTGTACCTGCTGAAGTTTCTGAATGCATTTCAGTGGCAGCCCTAGGTAGAGTTTATGGCAGCGGTCCAATCTAGAGATCACTAGGGTATGAGTGACCTTGAGGAAAGCCTCCCAGGGGGTCCACAGGAACCCATTTATCTCCACCCGTGACGGAAAGCTTGGAAATTATAGCAGAAAACTACTTCTGTTTGGTCCTTCCCAAACAGCAATCTTGCTTGACTTCTGAGGATGTTATTTAGCACTAGCCAAGTATGATATGGGGCTCAGGTGTTGAGAAAGAAGATGCACACTCTCTTCAGCTGATGTAAGCCACCATCTCTAAGCCTCAGCAACTCTTTGAACCAGCTCTCTTCCTGGGACTGCACAGCTGAGGTAGAGCGATACCCCTTTGTGTACCTATTGCCAAAGTATAAGGATAGGGATGAGTGATTGAGGAGCTACATTTGGTTCAGAGGCTAGTGAGACTTTTACCAACTTGAAATACTACAGAAGCACCACATCTTTGCTTCTCTTTTAGGAGAGAAAAAAATGGCCTTTTAAAAATCTTGCTTTCTCTCTCCTGAATACTTTCCTTCTTTCAGGAAGACTTACTGAAAAGAGAAAATATGTCGATGCAGCAGTTCTTCTGGAACAATATGCCAAGGTATAGCTCCTATTTTACTCCCTTTCATTTGTTCTGTTTCTGATCCGCTTTTTTATCTGGAGTTTTCCATCCATGCGTGTGTCTCTCTCTCTCTCTCTCTCTCTCTCTCTCTCTCTCTCTCTCTCTCTATCTATCTATCTATCTATCTATATATATCAAACCACAATGATGCCAGAATGATGACATCATCACCCAAGTGCTGTCATTCTGTACTTGTGGCCCAACATTTGACACGGCTATATCAGTCATAGTATTTGCATCTGTGACATTATTTCTAGAGTCCTATTTTTCTGTCATTATTTCCAGAATCCCATTTTCCCTTGTATCTTTAGCCTGGATTTGAAAATAGAAAGTGAACAGTGAGCAGCAGCAGGTTGCTTCTTCCCCCAACAATTAGATGTAAATTGAAACACCTGCAGCTCTGTCTTCTGTTTGTAAACACCATGATTTTCCACCATGTCTCTGGACAAGTTTCCTATTGTGTAGGACTCCCATATCCTCATCTAGCTACAGCCAAATGTATACACTTCAGAGTGTTGAACCCTGCTGCTTAATGGCACCAAATTTATTATGAAAACCTCTTCATCCATGCCACATCTGTTTATGTGACAAAGCTATCAGTAAATGACTGACAATGTAAGTATTGCTAAAGTATTGCTAATTGCTATCCTAAAGATTTAACCCACCTCATAAAATTAGCTCAATATCTCAAAGTCCTGTGAAGGATACCAGATAAGAGAAAAACAAGAGCTGGTTCAGGCATGTATGGCTAGAAATAGATTTAATTAGAGGCATACCTCATCTGAGGCTCTTGAATGGCTGAGTTGATGTGGAAAGATAGATACATTTGGAACAAGAAGTTATATCTGCTCTAGTTGTTCATTGATGCAGAATATTACCTGCAGTGTAGTGATAATGCTATAGGAGAAAATCACAAAGTATGAAGAACCCCAAATAGAAATAGAACGACTGTGGCAAAAGAAATCAAAGATGATACCAATGGCAATAGGCACCTTGGATACATCCCATGACAGTGCAGGAGCCCTCTCCCTATAGATACTCAAATGTGGAAACTCAGTATTACATACACTCAATTAGCATTGACTCTAGAGCAGGGGTAGGTAACCTTGGCTCTTTTATGACTTGTGGACTTCAACTCCCAGAATTCCTGAGCCAGGCATTGAAGTCCACGAGTCATAAAAGAGCCAAGGTTGCCTACCCCTGCTCTAGACCATCCCGACACAGTTCATATGGTTTACATGAAATCATCAGGTTCAAGTGCATTTACTTCAAATATATTCCATTTCATGAAAGTTGATGTATACATATGAACCTGCTCTTAAACATATGAATACTAGGAGGTGAAGCAGAGTACTCACCGTGTATTAGGAACACTACAGACTGCTACTTTTTCTTTTCTGCTAGCAGGATTCGAGAGAGAGAAATATTTGATTAGTTAGCAAAATGGCCATAAATATTTGATTTACCCTCTTCCAGGACTACGAAGAGGCCATCCTGCTTCTTTTAGAAGGAACTGCCTGGGATGAAGCCTTGAGAATAGTAAGATATTCCTGAAACTGTTGAATTCTTTCCGTTATCTGTTGGAAAGTGTTGTGTTTTTTTTTTTCTCAGAGAGGTTTATTGTTTTGTTTTCCATTTCAGATTTACAAATATAACAGGACTGATATTCTAGAGACCAACTTCAGGCCATCTTTGTTGGAAGGTAAGGCTGAAACCTGACTTCCTGAGCGCTGATACGTGCTTGGAGGTATAATGAGATTCAAATTAGGGAGAAAGTGTGTTGGTCTGAGATAAGGACATATAAAGGGATATTGCAGAATTTTGTCTCTGGGCACAAAGAACATCTAAACTTGATCTTGATTTTTTTTTTCATTGTTCATTGCCAAATCAAAGTTTTTAAGGTGTCTGCTCCAGCTGCAGATATATAATTTTCCTTTTACTGTGATCACCTCTCTAGCTCAAAAAAATCATTTGGCATTCTTGGAAACAAAGAAAGCAGAATTTTCCCGCCATCGCAAGCGCCTTTCCGTGGTTCGAGAGCTTAAGCAGCAAGCCCAAAATGAGCTTCTAGGTAATGTATTTCAATGGAATTGTGTTTTGTGACACTAATTCATAGAAAGCTCCTTGTTGGTGCCTTAAGAGAAGAGCAGGAACTTCAGAGACTACTTCAGCAAAATAATAGAACTTCACAGTTTTGATTTCTACTAGTTATGAAGTGCTACACCAGTGAGATTGTGGGGAGGCTGGGAAAGCAATGGTAAGACCACTGATTTAAACATTCAGGAGATAGCCGTGAATCAGTTGGCAACTGATCTCATACAATGGCAGTTTAGCCTAGATGGAAACAAATTGAGGAAGAAGCGTTTTAAATCACTCAACAAAGTATTTGAACTAAAGTTGTCAGGAATATCTGCCATACATCCAGAGGAATAAGATGCTAGACTAGATAGAACTCACTCATTCATTCATTCATTCATTCATTCATCTTATTAACTAAGAGATCAAAGTTCAGATTGCAGTTCTGAACATTCCACATCAGGGATCACTTCACATCAGGGGCCATAGGTCTACTCTTACCTTCCCCCTTGGTTTCACCTTCCTTGGATGCACCTGAAACATTGCAGAATGTTTCTAAAACAGTCCAAAAAAGTGCTATTGAAATGAAGTAGTGAGAGGGGAATTTATTTAGCGGATAAGATGGGCATGTTTTTTCCCCCTTTTATTGATCAAAATAACTCATTTTTGCAGATCACAAAGCGTCAAATTGTCCTGAATCGGATCTCTTTTCTGATACCAGCAGTTTGGTGACAGCCAGTGACACAAGTTCCAAATATACTCACAGTAATTCAAGAATATCTGCGTATGTTACTTTGCCTTATCTTAGCTTTGGTGTACAATAGTTTGACTGCCATTCATGTCCCAAGTGGAAAATTTTGGAATTTCATTGATCTCCAGATATAAAGACTGCCTTTCTTAGATCTCCCTTTCCTACCTGGACTCCACTGGGAGATTGATAACCAAACAGGCTGCCAAGCAACTTCTCTTGGCCCCTTAGAGGCCCGCAACATTAATCATTAACAGTAAACATTTTCACCTGCAAGAAAACTAATTTTAGAATTTTGAATTGGTAAGAGTTGGAGAGAGAAAATTTCACATGTTAAAAAACAATCTCCTTTAGGAATTCAGTATAATGTCGTAAGAGAATATGCCATCTATAAGCATGAAATCTTTTTACTGAATCTATTATAAAGGCTGACCATATATGAAGAAGTGTTGAAGTGTACGGCTAATGACATGCTTCCAGTTCTCAGATCATGGGTGTACAGAGAGATAACGAAGAGACAGGGATAAAAATAATTCCTTTGTTGATGCTGTTGCCATTAATTGGAATCAGAGATTACATTTCCCCAAAAGAGAAGGACAAAAAAATGCTTCAGTCTCTGGCAATAATCGCAGTTAATAGTGAAACAAGAAGGAAAATGGATAAATTTCATTCCAAACTTTACACTCAGAGCTAATTGTTCTTGGCATTGTAAACAAGGCTCTTTGAACGAGGTGAATTCATATATATGAGAATGTGAGCAGGCATTTCTCCAGTTCATTAAAGTAGCTATTTTTTAGAATGTGAATCCACCCACTTCAAATGATAATCTGCTTATCTGCACAGTGTAAATCGGCTTCTTTGTGACTACATATGTATTCAGTTTGAATCTCCTTTATTTTCCCTTTATAAAAATCAAAACTTGCTGCCCATAGAAAACAAGCATACTAGCAGAAAAGATTTTATCCTTCTCCTGATGTGCACCTTTTCCATTTTCAGAAAAGGAAAGGGGTTTGCATTTGGAGGGAGCAGAGCTAGCTTAAGGCGGTCATCTTGTCCTATAAATTCCATCTGCAGTCTAAAGTAATACAAACCAGGCGTACCATTTTAGGATGAGACTTCCATCATCCAATTTAACCCGTGTGCAAATGCAAAAATACTTACCAGATCAAATGTTTATAAGCTGTCCCCCCACCATCCCTTTAGTCTCTCTCTCTCTACATTTCTCCACTGCTACCTGGTCAGCTCATTTTGCAGATGCTGTTTGTTCTATTGTAGACGTTCCTCAAAGAACCGTCGCAAGGCAGAACGCAAGAAACATAGTCTGAAGGAAGGAAGTCCCTTAGAAGATGTTGCACTTTTGGAGGCTTTAGGGGAAATAGTTCGGAATATTGACAATTTGAAAGGTTAGTTGCAAAGGTTGGTTCTTCAAATTTTGGATCTGGCTCAGAAAAATAGCCCTAAAGGAGATCAGGAAAAGAACCGATGGAGATGTCTAAAATCAGAGCCTGATGGTCATGTCTAGAGAGATTCCAAATGTTAATCTTTACCAGTCTTGGGGTAATAGGGAGTTGCACAAAAGGCTGCCTTCCTCACCAGATGAGCCTAATTACCAAATCCACATATCTAAACCAAGTTTGTAGATGGGATAACAATTTGTGAATACTTAACCGTTAATGCTAATTTATTTACTTATTTGTTTGTTTATTAGACTTTTATACCACCTTATTACTTTATAAGCAACTCAGGGTGGTGAACATACCTACTATTCCTTCCTCCTCCTATTTTTCCCACAACAACAACCCAGATGGCTTTCACGCTTAAGGTGGGACTAGAATTTACAGTCTCCTATGAATTCTTCACCATTACTCCAAACTGGCTCTCATTTCCTTCTTGCTTTTAGAATCTTCTGATAATGATAGTAGTCTTAAATAATCAGATTAATCTTTTTAAAAATGGCTGCAAATGAGCTATTTTTTTAAAAAAAAAAAAGAGTGCTGAGGAGATAAAACATAATGATAGTTCTCACTCTCTTGTCTTTTCTTGCACTTTGGTTCTCTTTTGCTTGTCCTCGTTCCTAAATATAATCAGGCCTGTAATCACTACTTTGATAGCAGAACAGCATAAGAGAAATGGTGCACAGGGTCGCGTTGGCTTAGCAGTTAAAGCAGTGGTTCTCAACCTTTTTAATGCCGCGACCCCCAACCGGTTGTAAGTCGAGGACTACTCAACCGGTCATAAGTCAAGGACTACTCAACTGGTGTAGCACTGTTTGCAGAATGGGACTTTTGGCGGGCTCAGCAGGGCAGAGACAGCCTGGACAATTCCTATTGGCTTTTGAAAGCCAATAGAATTAGACTCTATTCAAGAGAGTCTATTCTATTGGCTTTCAAAAGCCAATAGAATAAAAGGGAGTAGCACAGCTAAGGAAAAGGGGAAAAAAATGGTGGACTGCGTTGTTTGGCGACCCCCGTGAAATGGTCGTTCGACCCCAAATGGGGTCCCGACCCACAGGTTGAGAACCACTGAGTTAAAGACACTGAGCTTGTCAACTGGAAGACTTGACAGCCTCTGTTCAAGACCTGAACGCTGCGCAACAGGGTGAGCTCCCATTCATTGTCCCAGCTCCTGCCCACCTAGCAGTTTCAAAGCAAGTAAATGCGAGTAAATAAATAGATACCACTTCAGTTGGAGGGTAACAGCATTCCACGTGCCTTTGGCATATAGCCAGGCGGGCCACATGACCATGGACAATGTCTTCAGATAATTCTGGAAATGAGCGCCATGCTCACATATAGTTTGCTTCCCATTCATCTCAACAACCCCTGAACTGCTGGATAGAATGCTGGAACTTTCTTACTTATTAGCCCTGTCAGCCGATAGTGTTATTTTTAGAATGTAGGACATTTCTAAATACGCTTTCCAGAATGTCCCTAGAGGAACCAAGCCCTATAGCAATCTCCAGGGCTGTTGTTCTGAAATCAGTGAGTTTAACCTGATAGATACAGCTTATACCTATATCTCTGAAATAGGGGGGGGTCATTATTTTCAACCTAGAGGGCATGGAAGAAAGAGGTTTATCTTCTCTGGGTACCCTTTTTTTTTTTAAAAAAAATGCATTTTTAAACTTATTCGAGTGAGATCTTTTTTTCTCCCCAAGGTGAGATACACAGCATTTTAAGGCACCTAGTCCTGTATAGCTATGATGAGCAAGCCCAGGAATTGCAACAGGCCTTTGAGGATACCCTTCACTTGATGGAGAGCTCCCTGCTTGAAATCTGGAGCCCAGACTTGCAGCATATCCCAGCCAACCCAGTAAGACATGAATTCTAGTATGTGCCCCATTGGTACTCTTACTGGCACACTGTATTTACACTGTTTCATTTTGAAAAAAAGCATTCTTAAGGAGATCGCTTTATTTGAAGAAAAATCAGTTGCAGGAAAGGTATTCACCAGGAGTGTATCCATGAGGGGGGAGGGAAGGTCAAGAGGAGGCAAACGACAAAAACAGCATCCAGTTGCCTGCTTTACTCTGGATATGCACTGTGATATTGCATGCATGTACAAAATGGGAAGAGCTTATGGTGCAACTGCATATGCCACTACTTTGGCCTGGGGCAGGGGTAGGCAACCTTGGCTCTTTTATGACTCGTGGACTTCAACTCCCAGAATTCCTGAACCAGCCATGCTGAGGAGAAAGGGAGAGGTTTCCAATCTGAGCCATGCTGGCTCAAGAATTCTGGGAGTTGAAGTCCACGAGTCATAAAAGAGCCAAGGTTGCCTGCCCCTGGCCTAGGGAAGATATGGTACCAGTTTAGGTTCTTTACTCTCATTGCATTTTATTTTTAAAAAATCATAGCTGTACCTGATAATGGGTTGTTGTGGGAGTTAAATTTATTAAGGATAAGACCCAGCTATCAATAATGTGTTGTACAGCCTAGTACATAGCAATTTTATTTACCTAATTTCTTTTTAAGAGAATGCCATTTCACAGGTTTGTGTCAAGAAATTTGTTACTGCCAGGGAGATGATGTATATATGAGGGTAGGTAGTCCTTGATCTATGACCATTTGTTCAGCAACCGTTCAAAAATATGATGGTGCTGAACAAATGATGCTTGAAGTTCTGTCTGTCCAAGCATCTCTATATCATATGATCACAATCCGGGCACTTGGCACACCCCTCATCCACCCATGCCATACCTCTTGCACTTCCCTTGAACTCTTGCGCACCGTCATTGATCTTCTCCTACACACCCTCTCGCTTCCTCCCCCACTTACCCGCCCCCTGACCTGGGACTTACAACTTCCTGTCAGCTTCTCCACCGATTTTGGTTGTGGAAAGTCAACCAGACGTTGCCTCATCTAACAACAATGGGATTTTATTAATGACAGCTACTGGGACGCAGGGTTTTTTGTTATTAACAACGCAGTCACCTTATATGACTATCATTTTAAGTGTGGCCCAATTGCTATCATGAATCAAGGACTACTTGTAAATTCAAAGCAGGTGCAAGAGTGGGTTGGGAAACAAAATCAGGTTATAATTCTCCTGTTTGTTCCATAGGGAAAATGATGGTTTTCTGGTATTGTTATTTTAAATAAATCAACGTTGCTAATTCCTTGCAATTTTAGATCCTGGGTCCCAATTCCACTGCTAATAGCATAAGTGCTGCCTACACGCAACAGAAAGTGATGTCTCCCATAGTATGCGGTAAGACAGATCATGTAGTTTACAAATTAATTATAATTTAAATGTGTGTGTATGTGTGTGTATGTAAATGTATGTGTATGTTGCACGGAACCTGTTACTGTCTTAATAATATCAACTTACCATGAAAAAAAGTTGATTTTGCCCATTTACAATATGAAATGGAATTGGAAACCAAATTTATTTAAATTATTTATTGAACTTTCTATTTCACAGCAGTGACTGAGCAGCATACAAATGAAATATTATCATCAGCTCTTCAAATACGGCTCACTTTTGGGTTGATCATTCTGGCTTTTTGTAATTCTCAGCTGCTAAAAACTGATCAAAAAAATAAAACTTGCCCCCCCCCATTGCAAGAAAGATTACTTTATGAAGTACGGAAGGAGATTGCGAACTTTAGAAATTGAGCAAAACCCTTCCTTGCTTACTTATGCGCCTCGCCCAGGGTCTAACATTCGAGTTTTGAACCCAGTCCCTAGATATACAGTAGTTACCATGAAGCATGCCATTTAGGAAAGCTCAGAACTGAGCTTGCTGTTTTAGGTAGCAAAGGAATAAAATTTTAGTTTATTCTTCATTGATTTCAAGTAGCAGACAAAGCATAGGACTATTTTCACAGTGATACGTTTCTTTTTATCTCATTTGTGAGGTTTTGTTAATTTTTTTTGTCAGAATGCATATATAAGTATACTGTAATATCTGTTCCTTTTGCTTGTTTGTTTGCTTATCTTATTTGTAGGATTATCTCTTGCTTTTTCTTTCTCTTAGATCCAGAGGTCTTTATTGCTCCCAAACTCAACAAAAACACTCAGTGGAAGCTTACTCTCCTCCAATAAACTCAGTTCCACAGCTATTGTCGGGATGAAGATCTCTGTACAGGTAGTCCTCACTTACCAACAATTGGGACCAGGAACTCCATCACTAAGCGATGCAGTCACAGGATGTGATGTCAGTTGACCATGCCAACTTACCGCAGCAGTTCCAGCAGTCCCAGTTGCCATCAGTAGGTGAATCCTGCATTGTCACAGCATCCTGTGGTCATGTAATCACTATTTGTAACCTCCTGCATTGACTTTGCTAACCAGAAGCTGGCAGAGAACGTTGCAAATTCTGTAGGACTCTGCAACGTCATAACTGGGAGTTGGTTGCTAAGCACCCAAATTGTAATCATGTGACCACCAGGATGCTGCGATGGCCATAACCATGAGGACTAGTCATAAGTCCTTGTTCAGCCCCGCTGAACGAGTGGTTATTGAGTGAGGGCTACCTGCATTTAAGTACTGTTTCTCATCATGTAACCTTTAAGTGAGGGATGAATTGGCTCACAAAGCAGTGTAAATTCACCTTGCCCCTATGTATATCTGATCATGGGCTTCCTTCTACTTTTTTTCTCCCAACATAGTCCTTTATAACCAGATAGCAACCACTCAGCTTCTGTTATTGTAAATTATTTTTAATATGTTGCTTTGAACTCTCCAAACTCTTTTTTGCAGTTTAATATCTGATCTTTGGAGATTTTAAAGCAGGGCTATCAGTAGCACTTTAATTTTTTAGGGATTTTTTTTTAAAGATATACAACTCACTGTAAGATTTTTATTAATATATTAAACCCTGTTTTGACAAATTGAATATTGATGGAGCATTTTTTTCTGAAAAAAGGACAAAGACGGGGGTTAATAAAGTTTTGTTGTAACTTTTTTCTTTGAATCTCTCACTTTTCATTTTCTACATAGTGAGACTGTCATAAAATACTGGAGCACTTACTGAGTACACGGTCGTTTTCTGGAAATAGAGTTTCCGGTGACTGAATCCGATATATGAGCAGACATGTTCGTGTGGGAATATTAATCAGTGCCTTTTTGTATTTTTAATAAAGGGTGCATATTACAAATACCGTGGATTGCAATTTCATAACTGTGTGCAGCCTCTAAAGAAGATTTATGCATGGCCAACGTGTAAGTTTGCCATTGAAAATCTGACTTTATTTTAAAAGAAATCTCACAGCTGCTAAAGTTGCTGGGATATAGTTAAAAGCATATGGCTAGCGCAAGGCTGAGGGTTAACAATTCTGCAGAAACCACACTACTGAAATTCATGAAATACATTGGTATCGTAAGGTGCTACGTTATTATAACTATTAATATTACTATTATCATTTGCAAGACTACTTAGAGCAGTGGTTCGCAACCTGTGGGTTGGGACCCCATTTGGGGTCGAACGACCATTTCACGGGGGTCGCCAAACCACGCTGTCTGCCATTTTTTTCCCTTCTCCCTAGCTGTCCTACTCCCTCTTATTGGTGGCCACACCCACTTGGGGGTCACCACAACATGGGGAACTGTATTATGGGGTCACGGAATTAGAAAGGTTGAGAACCACTGACTTAGAGCAATCCCTCTGGGAAGTAAAACTACAGTGTCTATTCTACTCTGCTTTTTTTTTTTACTTTGGTAAGATAGACACCGATTTTCAGGAATACTTATAGCAAGTGTACAATCCTAATTTATTCAAGACAGTCCAGTTCAGTGATGCTTACTCTGGGGTGAATAAATGAAGAAGTGCAGTTGCTGGCTCTCCGCCTAGATCATCTAATTCAGGCATGTCAAACTCACGACGTCACATGACGTCGCGCGACGTATCGGGACCTTTTCCCCCTTGTCGGCAATAGGGTGGGCGCGGTTTCGGTGTGACGCATCTGGCCCGCGGGCCGGCAGTTTGACATGCTTGATCTAATTGGAAGATTTCCTTGATGCACTAATCTTCTCTGCTTTTTGTTGTTACTTGCACCCAAAAAAGGAACACTTATCTTTAACTGTTACAGCAATGAGTTTTTAATACACAGAGAACAGAATGTCACCCAGACCATATAACATTCAGATTGGTATTTACAGGGGTAGCAGGGAAAGTGTGTCCTTTTCTTCAACCAAATTTCATCCAATTGTTCTAGGTGAGGAGATTCCCGTTGGGGATTTAGAAACATTTCCGGTAGATGTAAAAAGGACCCTTTTCTTCATATTCTCTTCTGTGAACCCAGAGCTGTTGGAAAGCCTTGAGAGATGCAAGAATGGAGCCTCCGGTCCAGACAGATGTTTTTCTTTCCGGAGAAGCTGATGAAATGGGATTATCGTTTGGGCACATTCTAATCAGCTCTCTCTGGAAGCGGTCAGCAAAGCCCTTTAGCGTGGTGCAGCCCCCACATAACAAGATGTTGCCCATCAGGTTCTTTTTTAGGGTGACGTCACACTTGTTGAGGGAAGTCATTGTCAGGAGAGGAAGTCCCAATTGCTGTGAATTTATCAAGGATGGCTTAAAGAGCATTTCAGCACATAAGAATCTCTCTTTGCCAATAATGATCACTTGCCCATCAGGCAGCTGATATTCAATCTCATGTTTCCTGGGAGCTGCGGCTGCGTCATGTTGATAATCCAGTGAAGTGAAACAATAGTTTTCTTTGATGTCCTCTAAGATACTCCAGTCTTTCTCTGTGAACAATTTTATATTCTCATTTATTAAATTCATTAGGTACTGAGTGACATCGAATCCAGCATAGTCTACTCTTTCAGTAATGTTTGGCATGGTGTATCCTTCGTAAATGGGAACAACATAGGAGACACCGTGACCACTCTCCACAACGAGACCTGAGGTCTTTCCATAGGAATACATTGACAGTCTTGACTGGTAAGCAATGTGCATAGCAGGAGTGCAAAAGGTTTCGAAGAGCATTTCTGCATATTTTTCTCTGTTGGTAGTAGGGCTTAGAGGAGGATCCGATACTAGGACAGCATGCTCTTCGGGTCGAATCCTCATCTCCCTAAGGAAAAGATATTCCCACATATCTTGAACAGAATCCCAGTCCACTATTATTCCATGTCTTAAAGGATTGACAAGTTTTAAGGGTACTGTAGCTTCCTGAAGTTCTCTTCCAACAAAAGTTTCCTTCCTGTTATCTCCAGTTTTGGCTGTCTCCTGGATATGCTTGCCTACAGTAGATGAAATCACATGGCTTGGCTTTTGTTCTCCAGCAAATCCACATTTGCAGGAGCCGGTACCAATATCTATGACAACAGCTCTTGTCTCCTTTACTATTCTCCTTGGAGTTGACTCTCCCTCTTCTCTAAATTTGGTGCTCGGCTTGACTGCTGGTCCTTTCTTTGATGGCAGAGAGCCAGAGCTTGCACTCCCTCTGCTTGACATTTTATTTCCTGATGGTCATATATGCCTACTCTCCATGTACTGACCACCATTTCAAATGACAGGAATGGACATGATGTGGAGTGCTGATGATCCCAACAGCAAGCACTGTGACATCATAATGGGAATTCTTTGAGCAGTACTTCCAGCACAACTGGGAGCATTAGTTTGGAGAAGATTGTCCTCAAGGATAGGTTGTCTACATTCAATTTTATCTACTCTTAAGATTCAGAAAGAGGATTATTTAGGTTACATGTGTATCCTATACTGAACCATACATACACCCACAACATTCTAAACATGATTTCAAATTTGTGGTTCAGTAATTATACAAGCCCGGCATACCAAAGCACAAATATGATCTTGGAGAAGGTATGCAGCAGTTAGCCAAATACAATTTAAGCCCAGGAAAGAAGATAATTCTAGAAAGAAATTTAAACTGGCTCGCTTTGATATGAGGAAGGGAAAATGCTGTTAGGTTTCCAAAATTCTGTTACTATGATGTAGATTAGAGATCTGGTATCTTGAGGAATCTGTTTCCTGCCCTGGTCTACATTGAAGGATTGACATCAATCTTGAAAACCTATTAGGAGAAGCAGACTTGTCTTTGATCAAAAAGATGTCATCCAATCTGCTAAGCATCGTGCTGCAACATTGTTGTAATACCAACAAGTGGATTTACAAAGCAAAATCCCATGCTGCATTCAGCGCAACATTCGTGACAAGGCTTGCCTCAACCAAGGATATAGTGGCTGGCACTTCAACCAACAGTGACATGGGAGCTTGCCAGAAAAGTTTTGGAAAAGCTCAGGATCAATTCTAACTTTCATAGGTTCATGTTGAGATGGTTTATAGTGAGTTGGATGACAAAACTTCCTCATCAAAATGACTTTTGTTCGTAGTTTGCAGAAAGAAGACAGCCAAATGAGATAAGCTCATTATTGAAAGCAACGGTCCAGTATCGGACAATTACCAGAATTGCACACAAAGACTTAGAGCTTCTTTTGATGATTCTGCTAAGAGCAACAGGTTATCAAGAGAGTTAACAAGCTAAAAGCAGATCAACATAGTTTCTGCATCCCCATCAAATTTTCAATTAATTACCAGAGAGGTTGGGTGGAATGTTTTTGCTCTGATTAAACAATTTTGAGAAGAACATACTGATGAGCCGAGATGAATTGGTGAAGCAAAGCACACCAAAGAATTTGGAAGAGCTGTCCCAACATTATGTGTTAATAAATGGCCATTTGGAAGAGATGATGCACAAAAAAATGGCACAGCAAGGGTTTTTGCAATCTTCATCTCTAGCTCACCTGCTTGTGGAGTCCTACCCCGAAGGGCTGACACCATGCTTTACACATTATGTAGTTTCCATTTACTTTCAGCTGGGTTTCCCAAAGGCTTCTACAATAGCAATGAGGTTATGGAATTGCTTGGATATCAATCTGCTAAGGTTAAGAACTATTCCAGCTAATTTGTAGATTCTGTTCAAAGGGTGAATTGTTGGATCTATTCCAATATTCTGTTTATTTGTAATGATATTTAAATATGTTTTACTTGCCCCATGGAACCATATCAATAGAATTATTTTATTTTTTTTTTGCTCATGAATTCAAACTTTTTCTCGGACTAGTACCCCAGAATTGAACAGAAGCATGAATTCCAGAATTATATCTAAATGTAAAATATCATTTATACCTACTCAGAAATAAACTCAATAATTGAGGTTAAGGAGATTGCTAGATCGCTTCACATAGGATTGCAACCAACACAGATAATTAAAATAGACAGTGTCCTTAAAAAAAAAACTTATTTAACTGGATGAAGTGATTTCTTAGACCCTTTCAACCTGAGCTATTTAATTGCGAAGCTATAATGGGAGGTGTATGTGGAAGAGAAATAGTATCTCCTTGAAATCGTTTGAAAAAATGCAGGATGTAGGCAGGAGTAGAATTTAATAGGCATTGCTTTGCTTGAATACACATACACTTAATGAAATAAACACAGGAGTTCAAGTGATATTTTTTTTTAAAGATCTCAGATTTCACATTGTAATGCCTGCTGCATATCCACAGCAGTCCACTTAGAAACAGTATAGTGATAAAGCTGAAAATCAAATTGGGAAAGCAGAGAAATGCCTCCAACATAGGATGGAACATTATCCTGATAGCTCAGGCTACAAGTCAAATCTCACTACAGTACATTTTTAGTTTTTCTCCTCTTACCCATGCCAGGTTTGAAAATGAATGCCAAGGTTCAGCTTGAAATGTAGAACAGTATCCTGAATGTAAGTGCAAAGTTATCTTCCGTCATGTCAAAGTTAAAAAACATAAGTTTCCACATAACAGATTCATTCAACAGCAGGGCTCACTTTAGTTGGCCCATTAACTATAACGAATTCTTTAGCATGAAGAAGGGCATAGAGATGTCATGGGTGAAGGTTCCACTGCAAAAGCACAAGTACAACATCATTGTACAACCCTTGTATATTTCCACATCCCTTCTATCCATAGCTGCCACTTCCCTCTACAAATAGTGTGACAAGATTTTGGTACACTTCCTATGGCAATAGCATTTGCATATGAACATTGGAACTGAATTTAGCCAATACTCAGGATAACTCTGGTGCATAAATGAAACAAGTCCTAGAGTCATTTGGGCCAATGTTCTTTAAGGTGTTCTTTTAACTGAGGAATAGTCAGTAGTTGCCTTTTGCACACGTGGCACTTCAGAGGCAGTGTTAGAAGTTGGATGGCATTCTTATCGACAGTTACTTTTCCTTTCTTCTTTACCATTGCTATCACATCTAAAGAGGGAAAAGAGGGAGAGGCATAATGGATCTAGGATTATAGCTTCAGCCCTCTCCAAACCCCACCTGACTGGTTTTAGCTTTAGTACTTTTTTTCAAGGTTTAGATCAAACCTCAGAAACTGGGAGGAGAGAATTCATGGTATCTGACATAATTTTCAGCAATGTTAAGAAGCTCACAGTCCTAGGGTTCTTTATATTAATGCCAAAATTAGCACCCACAGAATGGCTGTATTTCTGCAGCAATTTCTACAATGTTTGATATGAATGGGTTGTCCAAAAATTTGCTTTGAAAGAATCTTATAATCCAGTCAAACCAGGCAGTGGCCACACTTTGTCTCAGCTTGTCAAATATATATAGGGAAGAAATTTGTCCTTACAAGGGAGGGAAGCTGAATTCTCCCATGTTTTTACTTTCCATGGACCCTTTCTCTCATACTGGGAGAACCTTTTGCAGGGGAACACCTGCCTTATCTCAATTCTTTTGGGTTAAACTAAATGCACTTTACTTATCCACTTGCTTTCTATGGACTGGTGCAGGAACTTTATTAAACCAACAGGGCAGTAGCTATTAAATTACTTTGATTTTAAGTTATCGGAAGAAACCCAAGTTTGAATAAAAATTAAAATAGCCTAAGTTGTTACCTGTAGAGTCCAAGAAGTAATCGGTTGTGAAAGAATTCCAATGCTTCTTGGTTTTAAACCACTTAGAATCAAAGTCTTGACTAATGATATGAAGATGTAGCTGGCTAAGAAAATGAAGCAGAAATGATAACCAGGATTGATATCACTACAACAACTGAAAATGTGTTAAAACAGCATTTTCACTAACAAAAGATACAGCCCAGAAGGCAGCATTTCTTCTGTTGCATGTTTGATAGAAGGTTAGCACACCTTAGTTTTTGCCTTACCTCATGCTGGGAATGGCATGGTAGCCTAGTCTGAAGCAGAGGCTGTCTTTCTCTGGGCACTGCTGGATTATCATTTCTCCAACTCTGTGCATATGTTCCAACAGTTCAAGATGCTCATGAGTTACTGCAAATAAAGTGGAAATGGACTTCCAGGGCAGCACTAACCAATGATAGCGAGCCTTTGGATATTTATCCTTTATAACTACAACTTGCTCGTCCTTGTAGACCTAACAGGGAAGAAAATACTTCAGAGTTACAGTGATGTTGATATCCTCATGCTTATCAATCTTGAGGGAAAGTAACATGAAACCCTTACCTGCACGTCTGGGTTTTGCATAGAAACCTTCAGACCTTGAGCCCAGTACGGCATATATTCCTAAAGAACAAACAGAAGAATCTAAATACATCAAGATACATATTTTAAAACTACAAAATGCAGCATGAAGAATCCAGTAGGAAAGACTTCCTACTACTTAGGTAAGCAAGCTTCAGATTGCAATCTTAAATTCTATTTAACTGTGCTATCAGAATAGCTAAAATAATTTGAAGAGACACTTAAATACTTTTCAGATTATAGGTAGTGTTGAAACACTTATCGCTTTGAAACTGCTCCTAAGACAAACAAATATAACTCAATAGACAGAATGTACCTCACTCAAAACTACGTAAGAGCAATTCAGATAGTGCCTGCCCCCAGGTGGTGACCTAGTTCAAAATGCCAGTCATTCACACACTCTAAGCTCCAAAAGCATTTTCAGTATTCCCCCCCCCCTAGATAATTATAACGATGGAATGGCTTTTATTAGCAGAACAAGGAGAAAAGGTTCTAGTATGTTCTCATAATTTCATTTAAAGGGGCCTAGAATAAATTGGGGAGGGGCAGTGTCAGGGATTGCATGTGGGCCAAAGTAGGACTATTCCAGTTTGTTCTCATTCAAATGTTACGGCTCCCCACAAAAAAAATCTTGGAATTATTAGCAGGGGTATTGGGAATCTGCCTAAGAACTCCAATTCTCATGTAACAGGAAGAAGGAATAACTTTGAAGACTGGAAAGAAGATTGTTTGCTTGCACATGTTTCATTACCAGACCAGGTAGTATCTTCAGTGCTAGAAGGGAGTGGGGTTTGTTCTCTATAGAGTGTACAGGTTCTCTACACAGTAGCTTGCCCTATCTGTGAAAAAAAGCCAAGATTTTTGGGGAAAAGAGGCCTTATTTGAGGTCCCATAGACTAAAGGCTCTCCTTGCCTACCTTCCTGCATTCAATTCTGCAATATTAGCTACTCTTATTTTTTGGCTTACCATTTTGGTAGAAGAGCTTTCAAGTGAAGAAACAGAACCACCATCTGTCACATTCTTGTACAAATTGTTGCTTTGCAACTCCACTTGGTCTGTTTTTATTTGTTTTCCAGATAAGCTTTCCATATTTTTTTCCTCAGGTTCATCATGTCGCCTTTTTTCACTTTGGAGTTTGTTACTTTCCCGACCAACACACGTGCCCATTTCCTCCAAGAATTGTACAGTGTATGGATACAATTTATTGACAATATGGAGAACCTGTCCTGGCTTCAGTTTAGTTTCTTGATCTTTGCCAACATCCACTAGATCAATACTGGTTGGATTGACTCCTATCTTGAAAAAGAAAAAGGCAAAATTAATTCATCATACTAATATTTGCTTTGCCTGAAAGTCAGCATCCATGAAATATATTATATTTTCTATCTCATTAAATAGCAATAGACCATCTCATTTCCAGGAAAAGATGGTAGATTGGCGATAGCTTCAAAGAAAAGTGATTTTTTACAACACTAATTGAAATTTAGTTGGCTAAATAGTGCAACAAAAGCTAGGATGTATTAAAATGATGGTGGCTTCTTTTGGCTTTAAAGTATCCACCACCCCCACATTATCACCAATTTCCTTTAATTATGTATATATAACCAAATAGTGAAAATCTTGTGATATGGGGGAGTAAAATAAGAACCAACAAGTAGAGGCTGAAAAAAGACGGATTCCTATAATTATTCATATTTTAATTCTTAATTCTGAAGTACGGAAACAAAAGTGAGAAGCACAAGGTACTATACCACAGACTTTTGATGTAATGTTATGTTCTTACGCAAGACCAGCTAAATAGCTCTAGGTTACGGATCCTTTAATCTAGATTTATGCACTAAAATACAAATTAGAAATATTTGCCAATCCATTGCAAATACATAGAAACATAGCAGTTTATTTTCCCCTTGGTCCTATTTCAGACTGATTGCTATCCCATACTGATTAACCTGGGAGTAAGTCTCACAGAATCAGTGGGGCTTACTGCTATGAAGATACATATAGGACAGCATTCTAATCCTCCTATAAAGAACAAGGAAATCACAGAAATTCAGCTTTGCTTTCTGGATTGGAGCAAATAATTATGGATGAAGTCTGTTATATATTCAAGAAGACAGAGAAATGTAATAGATTTCCACCAAGTGAAATGGATCGTAACAGGTGTACCAAAAGAATGAAGTTAATAAAGTTAAAAGTTAATAAAAGTGAACAAAGGAAGTTTCTCCTGATGCAGTCTTATACAATAGATAATCCACCTATATCCACAAAAATCAAACCTTAGAGAAGGTGGCTAACTCTCCTGCTTTATTAATCTTGGTGCAAGCAAACTGAGCAACAATGAAATCATGCTAGAGAATTTCTGTTTTTTAAAAATGAAAAAAAGAAAAAGGCAAGCTTTCATTCTTTTGTTTCTGTGGATTCAGTTATAATATGAGTTCAAATTAGCCTAAATATTCTCCTGATTTCCCTTTGGAAAATTCTGGGAACTGTAGTTTTATAAAGCATTTCCTGAGTTTTTTATTACAAAACATCAAGCCACGATCTCTATGCACAATCCAGAGTCATTTGGTCAAGAATTTTGACAAGCAAACTTATTAGGATCTGACTCAAATGTGAAATGTAGTCTCCTCAAATTTTAGCACAGAAAGTCACTTAACCCTCCCATTTTTAACAACTTGAAGGATTTCAGTATTTTGTTTGAATCTGATATGATGTTGAAGACCAAAAGCAAATAAATTTTGAAGAGGTATAGCGTACACAGAATCCTTTTCCTAATAAGACTGTTTTGTAATAAGACAAATTGAGGATTGTTTTGTTTGGGTTTAGCAAGGCTTATAAACTCAGTCACTACGGTTTGCACATTGTGGATTATTTTTAAAAGCATTTATTTGTTACATTTATAAAACACCCAATCATGGATTTAGCATGTAAACCTAACCATTAATGGTTTGTAAAATGCATTTTATAGTTTATCACATTTTATAAATTCAGTGAATTATATTGTGTCAATAAGTCTTTCTTAACTCATAGCTTAGCATAAGGTGTAAAGATCCATAGCATAGCAAAAGTTAATTCTTGTAAGGTAGTTCTCAACTTATGACTACAGTTAAGACCGAAATTTCCTGCTAAACAATGCAATCATAAAGCAAGATGTCACATGAGGATATCACTTAGCAATCACAATCCCATCAGTCCTGGTTGACATTGTTAACCAAGAACCACAGGCTGTTAAACAAGTACCCAGCCCAGTCCAAGCCAGTCCAAGTTGGTTGCTCCCAGCCCCAAGCCTCAGTAAGATAAGGGACTGTCTCCAACTTTGTCGAAACGTCGCCAAGACACTTCCAATTTTACGCGGGAGAAAACCCGAATAACCAAAGACCTACATACAAACACCCACGAAAACCTCAGAAAACAAATATATATATATATATATATATATATATATATATATATATATATATACACACACACACACACACACACACACACACACACACACACTTGCATAATATTTGCATTAGATAATTATATACAAAATTGTCATGGTTTACTGTTGTAATGACATATTATACCATGTATTTTTTCTGTTGTATTTTTTTCACTTATTTTTCCAGCACTTGTTATGTATGTTTTAAATAATGCGTGTATCTATGTTTTCTTCATTTTTGTTTTAAGAATTTATTCCACAATGCTGTATGGCAAGAAAAAGCATACCTGTTTAACCTTGACATACCCTTTGTTGTAATCTGCTTTTAGTTGCACTGAAAAAAAATTGACAAAGAATGATGTTAGGCTGTGAATTTTATGGAAGTGTTGGGGAAGGGAGAAAAATGGGGTGAAATTCAGAAAAGCAAATGCTTTAACAATTTAAATTAAAAAGTAGGTGCTAGGAGACATCCAATTTATTCTAATTTCTTTTGTCCTTTTGGAAATGAATGCAGCCAGAAAATAATGAGCTATGGTCATGTAAATTAAAATTATTGCTACAATTAAAAGCTATAATAGTTTAATAATACTTTACTTCGGTCTCATACGATCTCCTTATCTCTGGATTTTAGTGCCTAGACCTCTATTTTTTTTCTTTTCGGATTAAGTTTGTGTACACATTTGCATTAGGGTTCTCCATATGCCTCATTCAGTCCATTCCAGGACTCAACACATGTGGCTGAGTTTTCCTGGAGTCATTATTATTCTCTTACAAGGGCAGATTCGTTACAGGATTTAAAATTCTATTAAATTTTCTTATAGTTCTTCATCGACTATGGCTACTTCTACCCACCCACTGGCGAACTGAAAAATAAAAGCATAATCTTACTTTCATCTATAAAATATTGGGAAGTATAGACAGTTCTCATTTAGTTATTGTTAGCATTAACGATAGTGATGAAAAAGTAACTTTGCAACCAATCCTCATATTTACCAGGTCTGTAAAGCAAAGAAAAGCTGAAGTAAGATCATAAGCACAGTTGTAGTTTCCCTTAGCAACCACTTTAACAACCAAGGTGACAATTGTGGTCACTAAATGAGGACCATCTGTACAACAAAACATTATTTGGTTATATAATGTTAAATTACTGAAAATATATCATATATATTATCTTGTTATCCTAATTACAGATATCTATTTTTATTACTTTCCTGTGTAATTTATTTCTGGAGTCTTTTTTTGGATGGTCATAATAAATCTAATTAATAAAAATAACTTGGGAAACTGAATATAGCCATCTACTATTGAGAGTACAAATTAAATTCAAACCAGTTTTCCTAATCCATAGTTTAACCTCTTAGCTACTAATTATTACTCACCATGCCACCCATTTTGACCCTTTATCTGACACCAGGTACTTATGCCATTAGGGAAAAAAGAGGCAGAAATGAATTAAAGTAAAAACTGCTGAGTTTACTAAGATGTACTTCCTAGCATATTTAAAACTGCTACCTTAATCTACAATTTACCTTGTCTTCGTGAACATTTCTTGTCTGTTATCTCCGTGTCAGGCCCACGCCCTATCACCACCATTTCTAAATGCGGTAGTTTAATTCGCTGACAGCTTCTATCTTTGCTCACTAGCCAGCATACACGCATTGTACTCAGGGAGGGAGGAAAAAAAAAAGAAATACTCAGTTTTATCAAATAAGGTTCCTATAGGGAGAATGATCTACAGGTGCTATAAAAGTATTTTACTCCAGAACACTTACTAGAGGTTTTTATCTACTTTATAAAATGCACTCTCACCATTTACAATTGGAACAGCACAAAAATTTACAAGACTTCAAATAGTTTATGATCCAAAATGTTGAGATGCCAAATAGATTTTTATCTACTTTATTATAAAATTCATAGACAGATTTGAAAAAAAACTGATTAGACAATTTACATTATGCTTCCATTATTATATTTATGCATAACATATTTATAATTCTATTAAATACTTACAATACATTCATTAACTAAATTATAAAGCATTCCAATTAAAGAAATTGTTCTGACTCTGATGCAATCTGTCATTTTAAAAAACAATATTTTTATATGTGCCACAGAATAATTTCATTTACCCTAACACTTTAATTAATTTATAAAGCATGTTTTAAGTCTGCCAGTAGTTTTTAACTAACAATTTATAAATTAATATAGACCAAGACCACCAATTCATACTAGGCATAGCTTTTTCCTTCTTCCAGGAGAAAAAAATAGAATGTACTTATTTGGAATAAATATTCCAGCAGATCAGACTTTTTCAGCTGATGGAGTGCAGTGATAAAGCTTTTAGTGTTGGCCAAAGGGCAAAATTAAGTAGTGATGTGTGAATTAGCTGAAAGCATCAGATCTATGAAATGAACGTAACCTTTATTCGGAGTTGTTCTTGAGTGTGTCTATGGTAGAATCCAAGCAACTGAATTATTTTTGTAGAATAAAGCAAGGGAAATAATCATATTTAAGTTGGATGTCTGCTCTATTTTTAGCACCGAGAATACTGTTTATTTAATCTCCAAATTGAAAATATAGAGCTAACTGTATTATGTTTCATGAAAAATTCAGAAAACAATTTTAAATTTGTTTGGTGAAAGTTTGCAGAGCCTTCCCTTTTGAACAATTACAAACAGAAAATTCACTGCCTTTCTTTTTACCCCATAAAAGAACTATTTGTACTTCTTACTACCACTGCAACAGAGAAACCAAGAAAAGGGTGCAGTTAAATTAAGTTTTTCTTTGAATTCCCAGTTTTCTTATTGCTTCAGAATATGATTTTTGAATGGATTCTGTATCCTGCAGGAGTGTTCAGCATTTTTAGGATCTAGAAACTAAACGGAACCGGTTCACCCTCTTCTTTCGTCATGATATTGTAAATATGACAGATCACGACCGCGTTTGACACACAGAGAAATGAGATTTTGAAGTGGACAACCGCTTACTTACAGGAAGCAGCTGTTCATGGATATGTGTATCCAAAGTTTGGCTCTGCACTGTATTTTATCCGGGCTATGATCCACATCACTAACATCCAGATTTAATGCGTGTTTATCAAAAATCCAATTAACTAAGTTCAGCATGCAAAGGACTGCGACTGAAACAACACAAACACCTGGCACAATCCATTAAGCATTAGGGCAGCTGGAGTTTGGCTCCTGACAGTTTTAGAATCAATGACCGTTTAAATATACGAGTTCCTCTGAGGAAAATGTTGTAAAAGAAACATTTCTGCCAGACAATCTCTCTTGCGCCATCTCACAGTACAATTTTGTGCTTGCTTTTTTAACGACCATCTAAAGACCACGTACCCCATCCGATTTCTTCCCTCCCAATAATTTTCGGTGGGTTATTCATCCCCCCCCCATAAATACCAGAAGCTTCTCACGAGAACCTCCTCCTTTCGTCAACACTCCCTCGCATTTCCGCTCACCTCCACGTTGCCATCTCTGAACCTTTTCTACATTTCCTAGCCAATAGCATCCTTCTGGACTGCTTCGTGGCCAATCAAAGACAAGTTTCTAAGTCCTTACTCCGCCCCCCCAAGAGAAAGGAAGTAAATACACATCGAGTTTCTCGACCTTTCTTTCCTCAATGATGATTAGCGTTTGCTCTTGAGTTGTACGTTTACAAGGATTCTTGATCGGATTTTGTCTTATTTAGTAAACCCATAAAAAAGACTATGCTGATCCATTAATACCAAAATATTTGCCAATTAATGCTATTTAAGGCCACTCAAAATCTCACCATAATATTTAGCGAGCTCTTGAATTCTCCACTTTTGATCGGACTGGATGTTAATTAAAGCAGAAAAGAGAGAAGCTACTTTGAGATTCCCATTAGGATGCCTCTTAGTGACATAAAAATGAAATGCAGCCAATATGTATTTTTTTTAAACAATCTATGCTGAATATTAACACCAGAATTCGAAATTTAATTGGAAGAATCTTCAGGAGAGTTAGGGCTACCAAAACGTGTCTGCAAAACTCCCAAGATTAAGTGTTTTCCTAATTATTTTCCTTCCATACAGTAGGTTTGTGGATTTCTGCAGGCGTGCGGTAGGTGGATGTAGGATTTCAGTTTTTCTCTTTGCTTCTTTTATTTAATTATTAATTTATTCTATTTGTAAGCCACCCAAGAATCATTTTATTGGTGAGATGGTGGGGCATATACATTTAATAAATAAATAAAATAAACTTTTTCGTCGTAGTGTTAAAGAGCGGAATACTTTATTTTCGTTTGCTTTACGCATTTCTCACACTTTGAGGAAACCTGGCCTCAAGCTCCCGGTTCAGTTCTACAGGACTTCGAAAGGTCGAAGGCGCCCATCCCTACCGCTTTGCATTCTGGCCCTTGTAGTTTGCCCTTGCTCAGCCGCGTCGAAAAATGGCGCACCGTACCGAGCACGTTGCCTACTGGCACGATGGGACTTGTAGTTCCTGGCGGTAACGTAATCCTTCGACATGTGATTGGAAGACGGCTGGTTTTGCGTCATCGCTTCTGGAAAGCCGGCGAAGGGACCAGCAGAGAAGGCGGTGTTTCCGGGATTGGGTGGGGCTTCCTTGAAAAAGAAAACTCCCCGGATGCTGCCTAGCCTGAGACCGGCTCGGAACTTTCCAGAAAAGTCGCGGTCGTTTTGTCTGTGGGAGAGAAAGAGGCAGGCGAAGGGGAACTCGGCGGCAGGAGTGGGTAGGCTTATCGGGAAGACATCAGGCTGCCTTTTCTTCGGCCGAAAGCGCAAGGTAGGTGGAAGACAAAGAGAAGCTGTTGGCCGCGCCTTCTTTTCTTCCCTCAGTTCCCCCCCTCTGCTTCTCCCCTCCTCGTTCCGCGGGCAACGACGGCCCGGGCAGCTTCGTCCGCGCGCCTGAAGCCGAGACGCACGCGGGGGGGGGGGGCGGTAGGCGCGCGGTGTGGAACAGCGCGAGCCGAAATCGTGCGCTGGGGGAGGGGGGAGGGAGAAGCAACCGATACGAGGCGGGGAAAAGGCGGCACGAGGGCAGAAGGGGAGGGGGGGGTAGGTCGGTGAGGGAAACTGGGGAGAAGGAGCAGTTGGGGCCCATTGTCCGTGAAACGAGGAGGGCGACCATGAAGAAGCATCCTTTCTGGGTGTCCTGTAGGGGAGAAGCTGAGGTGGTGGGGGGGGGAAGGGCTGGAGCCCGGGGGGGGGGGGAAAGGGGAGTAAGTCCTTTTTTCGAGTGAGTGACCACCTTCGCCCGCTCGGAAACAGGCGGGTGCGGCTGAAGGAGGCAATTGAAGCGAAGGTGGCCGAGTCAAGCGGGAGGAACAAGAAAAAGGTGCTTTCCTGACAGATTTAGTCCCTGTTTTGTATTAGCCATTAGGTTGTGGGAGGCTAGTGCGGGCAAGTGGATGAAAGATGGAGGATTGTTTCTGTTGAGAGGCAAAGGAGCTATTGGGGAGCCTGAAGGGGATAAGGGAAGGGAAATAGGAAAGTGTGGGAGAGTCCCAATAGCTGTTTTACTTGCTTCCTTTAACGGGCATCTTCTTACTGACTGTTCTCTTCCCCACCATGGTCTCGTGCAGGTACGGTTGCATCATGGTGAAGGAGACCACATACTACGATGTGCTTGGGGTAAAACCTAATGCTTCTCAGGAGGAGTTGAAAAAGGCTTATAGGAAATTAGCATTGAAGTATCACCCAGATAAGAATCCTAATGAAGGCGAAAAGGTGAGTTAATAGGGTTTTTTTTAATATTCCTCCCATTTTCTGCTAATTAACTACGTGGAAGGTATTGTGTACCCATTTTCATTTTACTTCTTGGTGTGAATGTGTTGGATTCTGGATGTTGAACCCATATGCATACTTATCTTCAGAACATACTATTTCTTTAAGTCTTCAATGTTTCCATGCTCTGTTTTACTTGACCAGGGGTAGGCAACCTTGGCTCTTTTATGACTTGTGGACTTCAATACCCAGAATTCCTGAACCAGCCATGCTGACTCGGGAATTCTGGGAGTTTAAGTCCACAAGTCATAAAAGAGCCAAGGTTGTCTACCTTTGTACTTGACTATTTCTTGTCTCTTGTCCTGCAGATGTCTTATTGAAAATATAATTTGGTTTACAGTAAAATGTCTTTCTTTTTGAGGTTTGAAAAACCTACATAAAAATTTCTCTCCATGTCATTTCCAAGTGTGACGTTGAATAAAAATTTCTATGATGAGCTTGACTCCTGGTGACTTATGTGGACATATCCATGCAAATCACTGCCCTTTGGAAAGCTAGCAGCCTAGCTGTTGTGGCACCATCTAGTCACTGTTAGCTGTTTTTGAAACAGCTAAAGCAGAATTGAACCTATGAACTAGACATGGATATAGAAGAAAAATATTCAGCAGAAAAGAGTAACAAATCACTTTATCACTATATAAAAAAAACCTAGCAGTCATTCTGTGGACCAGGACTTAAAGGTTTACAATTAGGAAGGTTAAAATGTAGATTTGAATTTTTTTGCTGAAATAAAACATTATTACTCTTCAATAAAATGAGAAAATTCAATCCATAAGATAGACCGGGCCTCAGTAATTATTGTATGTTATTAATACATAAATGATCTACTAATAGAGATGATCATGGTATAAATAATAAATGATCATTTGTCTGGTGGCAATTACACAGACTTTACATAAAGCCTTACATAAGCCTTTTAATTTTTTTAAAATGTTGTAGTTCAAACAAATTTCCCAAGCCTATGAAGTCCTCTCTGATTCCAAGAAAAGAGAGTTGTACGATAAAGGTGGTGAACAAGCAATAAAAGAAGGTGGTAGTGGAAGCAGTTTTGGATCACCAATGGATATATTTGATATGTTCTTTGGAGGAAGTGGAAGAATGCAAAGAGAAAGGAGAGGTAATGTACAACTTTCTTTGATCTAATGGAAATTGTAGTGGTTAAGTTTTTATTATTAAAAGGGTGGTTCCCTGCACACATTATAAAGATAAAGGTGATGTAGTTTCAAGGTAAACCGGTTAAGATATCTTTTAGTTTCAGAATTTTTATTTAATGTAAAACCATTCATTTGTTTCTTTGTAATGGTTGCTTTGGGAGCTGTCATATAATGGATTAATGTCCATTAAAACATCTATTAGCATTATTTGAGCAGTTCCTCAAAGTTTATTTGCTGTTATTACTGTTAATATTAGCTGTATAAATTATACAATTAGTCCAGGTATTTTCAACATGGTTTAAACTGCACATGAAATGGCCCTTATAACTGTTTACTTAGAAATGCCCCATTGTATTCAATCAAGTTTAATTTCCATTGTAATATAATTTTTTCCAGAAAGTTCTTAGATATGAATTGAATTAGTCATTAACACGCTTTTCATTTCAGGTAAAAACGTTGTACATCAGTTATCAGTAACTCTAGAAGATTTGTACAATGGAGCAACCCGGAAACTTGCTCTACAAAAAAATGTGATTTGTGACAAATGTGAAGGTATGTTAAAATATTTCTTTAATCTTTAGAAAGGTCCAGGAGAAATTTTAATGTGAAAAAGATGTAGTCTACTTAATCTTATTTTTTGACATATGTTTTTTAGGCCGAGGGGGCAAGAAAGGTGCAGTAGAATGCTGCCTTAATTGCAGAGGAACAGGCATGCAAATAAGAATTCATCAGATAGGACCTGGAATGGTTCAGCAAATCCAGTCGGTGTGCATGGAATGTCAAGGCCATGGGGAGCGCATCAATCCCAAGGACAGGTGTAAAAGCTGCAATGGAAGGAAAATTGTTAGAGAAAAGAAAATTCTGGAAGTCCACATTGATAAAGGTATACTAAAGGAGAAATTAGGAGTTGTAGAATATTAAACATCCTAGGAAAGTTTTACATATTTATCATCCCTTTTAAAATTAATATGTTTTGGTAATCTGTCCCATGAGATCTGTGTCTTTCATTCATTTTCCTTCCTCAGAATTCCCTTGTTGGAAGAAGAATATAGTTCTCTCCCCACCTGACTTTCTGCTTGCTGGGCATTAAACCTCAGTACCTCTGTCAAGAGGTGGTGCTTTCATAAGATAGTACAACTTCCACAACTTTTTTGTATTGTGGGTGTTTAATGGTTCCCAATAAGGATTTGAGGGGTGCTGTATGGGTGACATAATGACTGCTTGAACACTTGATATCAGATGCTCTGGAAAACTATAGTATTTGGATAAAAATAATTTTGACTAAGGGCTGAAATAAAGTAAACAAAATGAAAACTATTAAAATATGTTCAAATTAAATTATTACAACTAGTGTACATCAACACCTCAGTTTCACAATATCTAAAAAATATAAACATACCACTTATACATTCCATAATGCAGAACTAGGAATTTTGGCAAAAGAAACTAAGGAAGGAATAACTCAGTGTTTCCCAAACTTGACAATTTTAAGGCATGTGGACTTCAACTCCCAGAATTCCACAGCCAGCGTTGCTGGCTGTGGAATTCTGGGAGTTGGTCCTCATGCCTTAAAATTGTCAAGTTTGGGAAACACTGGAATAACTTATTGAGACTAGATGGCTTTTACTAGCAGCTAAAGAATATGCTTTCTGCTCCTGTTTCATGCTTCTACTTATGCTTCACCAAATTATTTCCAGAGTAATGAATGCTAAATTTATTAATACTATAATTTAAAATATATTGTGTAGATTTTAAGTCTAATGTGTTCCTTTTGAAATAGGAATGAAAGATGGTCAGAAAATAACTTTTCATGGTGAAGGTGATCAAGAACCAGGGTTGGAGCCAGGAGACATTATCATTGTCTTGGATCAAAAAGATCATTCTTTGTTTACAAGGCAAGTTTTAATAATACTGTGGAAAACTTACTTCGGAAGTATGTATAACAGTTTGGGGACATAGGTTGTTAGGCATAGGCCTTATGTTTGATAGACACTAATTGATTGAAGCAGCTTTTAAATTTTGTAGTCAAAACAGAATGGTCAGGGTAACAATTGTGCAGTTTCTCTTAACTTTTTCTCTACAAACGTTAATTATTTCTGCAGTACCTTACATCTCTTCCAATCTGTTCTACTAAACTAATATAAACCACTACATTGTAACTAATATGTGGACACCTACTGCATTTATAAATGCATATTAATATGCAATAGTACAGATGACAGACTGATTCTGTCATAGTTCTGTAGCCCTTCACTAGTTATGTTAAGGTATGAAGCCTGGCACAACATCAGTTTTTAATTCTAATTCCTGATTCTTTGTTTAGGGAAGTGTATAATATTATCTTAGTTTTAAGAAGTTTGTTCAGTATAATGATGATTCAAAGTCAGTAAACTGGTTTTCCTTCTCTGGAAGTTAAACTTCAGTTGTTAAGTAAAATGTTACATTGATTTTAAGGCTTGAAAGTCATCTTTTCTCCAGCTCAACTGCTGAAACTATTTTTTGTGTATGGATGTAAATAGTGTATACAGTAGCAGGAAAAATCGGTTTATTTTTTTCCCCGTGAGATTGTGGCTTTTTTTTTTTTTAACTTAGAAAATTAAACATAGAATGTCATTCAAAATATTTCTTGATCTATTATAGGGATCCTCATCCTTTTTGAGCAGGAGAACTTTTGAAAATATGACAGGAGTGCTGTGGCTGCTGGATGGGGAAAATTGCCTATTCACAAAATGGCTACCATGGGAAAGTTACATAAAGCCAGTTTATCAGAATACTATCTGTTCTATTTAAATACTTCCTATAGGATGTTGCCTGTAATTGTGCTTATTTGGGGGATTTTTAGGAACAAATTCCCTCTCCTAAAAGTATTTTCCTACAGCCAAAACATTTTATTTTTCAATAAAAATTATAGAGTCAATTTAGGATTCAGGTGCATTATTACAAATAAAGATAATACTGGAAGATATCACTTTGCACTTTTACAATTTTAAGAAGCATAAAGGATTAGTGAGGAACCACCACCCTAGATGCCTGTGTGTTGTGTGTCACTCTTTGGTGGCATGCTGGGGACCACTGGTCTGCTATATTATATCATTATAACATTTAAACATCAGATATTAAGGTAGAAACTTAATTTTTTGTTTTCCCATGTAATCAGATCTGGTGCCAGAATAGTCTTATTTCACTAACAAATCCTTTTAGTTCTGTAGGAATGCAGATCTCTTTATATTCCCCCTGTACATTTATTTAATAGTATAATTTATCATTTTAAGCAGTTGTTTTTTCCTTATCTTTTTGGAATTGATATCCTTTACAATATGATTATAGTCCTGCAATTCTAAGGCAAATAACTTTTTCTCTGCAGGCGAGGTGAAGACCTGGTCATGTCTATGGATATACAGTTAGTGGAAGCACTCTGTGGCTTTCAAAAACCAATTGCAATGCTCGATAATCGAACTATAATAATTACTTCTCATCCTGGTAAGTCTGTATTGCTCTGAAAAAAGAACTTGGGTAGAATACATTTAAAGAACCATAGTTTAATCAACCTTGGATGTAAACCTTTCCTTATTACTTTGTGTGCATAATCCTATTTATCTTTTTATGGCCTGTAAAATTCCCGTTCAGTTAAATGAACATTCTACTTTAACTGACATCTGCTGCCTACTATTAGTCTGTTAAATTAAAGGTTTGCAATTAATACTGGAGTCAATATTAATTGGAACCCACCATAAAATAAATGTTATCGTTTTGGGGAATCCAAGTGAAAAGCTATAAAGTTCCTAAGCAGCTATAACTGTCTTAAATTAGTACTGTAATTAAATATCTCCATAGAATTTAACATTCATCAAACTCCTATTGCCTTGAATTGACAGAAATAGAACAATCATTTGTAACTGGTGAATTAGAAATCTTCTAAACATGTCTTGGGAAACCTTTTTTTTATCATGATACTGCACTTTAGGAATATGCCATGTTTGGATTCGGTTACAAAACATTTCTAGCACTTGGATCTTTTCCCAGAATCAGGTTATTACCCTTTGTGGATGCCTTGTTCACATACATTTCTTTAGTTTGCTGTCTAGATGAGTTTCTGCTTCAGCAATTACAAGTACTTGTAACTTTAATTTTATATAAGGTTTATTAAACACAAGTTATATCTTTTTAATTTCTAGGTCAGATTGTCAAACATGGTGACGTTAAATGTGTAATAAATGAAGGAATGCCAATCTACCGTAGGCCATATGAAAAGGGCCGTCTTATAATTGAATTTAAGGTAAGGCACAGTTGGTTAAATTACTAACATCTAATGGAATATTTCTTCAATATATTTTAGGCAATGCTGCCTTATAATTTGGTTTGTTTAAAAAATGATTGGTGTTATACAAATTAAGCAAATTTATCTTTTACATTAAAATTCAGATACACTATATTTCACACTTCAAGTACATTTATGAGAAGTATTCATATTTTTTTCTAATTTTCAGGTGATATTTCCAGAAAGTGGTTTCCTTTGCTCAGATAAGCTATGTCTGTTGGAAAAACTGCTACCACCAAGACAAGAAGTGGAAGAAGCTGAAGAAATGGATCAAGTAGAATTGGTAGACTTTGACCCATCTCAGGAAAGAAGACAGCATTACAATGGTGAAGCATATGACGATGATGAGCATCATCCTAGAGGTGGTGTCCAATGCCAGACTTCCTAAAGTGGTCTCACAGTTACACTTGTGCTGCTTGTCCTGTATGTCAGTTGTGGATGAGTGAAGGACTGAAATTGCTATATTCAGAATTGCTATTGTCTCTGTAATATTTAAATTTAGTTGTTTTTAAATCAAGTTAACAAATTGAAATCGGTAAAACTACTTGGATCAAGTTGGAATGTTCATATTTCTATAAGGCCTCCTAAGGAAACCTGAAGCCACTTTACTCTGGCTTATTTTATTTTGTGCATCATAAGTGTATTGTGTGCAAATGCACTGGCTTAGTATTCAGTGATTTCTGTTTAGTATTATAAATTATATTCCCTCTTACGTATGCATCTGTATTTATGATTCATGTTAAAGATGTGAAATTAAAGTTTTGTATTCATCTAGATACATTGATGTGTTTTGGATGTGCTATGGCTGGTTGAGACTTTGCACAGCACCTGTATGGAACTCTACTTATTTTCCACTCTGGAATGTTGAACACCCCTCATTCTATTCTGAGCTTTAGTTAGAATGCTGTATAAAACTCATTGATGTTAGACAGGATCCTGACATGGTTCTTGGGTAGGAGTAAAAAAATTCAACCAACATCTAAGTGTAAATGGGACAAAAGCTTAAATCTTAAAAAAGATTCTGAATAGCAAATACTTAATTTCTGTAGAGGTAATCATGTAACTGAAAAATAATATGCCTAAGAATAATGGTACAAAACTACATCCTTAAGCATTTTGAGTTTCATGTCACTAACATTCAAATTCCATGCTGCATGAATACTAGCAGAAAAACCCCATTGACGCTAAATGACTCCTTAATGAACTGTTCACAGTCCATAAGGTTTTTGTGTGTAGTTTCTGAAAAAGGCTACCTTTTAATGGCTATTTCAAAATGTCAATATAAGTAACCTAGTATAGATTCATCCAAAATAATAATTAGGCATTACATCATGACTGGGGGAAGCGTTAGCAAAGATTCAAGTATGTCCTTTAAATATCCTAAGACTCTGCTATTTCTAAAAACTGAGTTGCTAACATTGCTATTTATGATAAGCCCTAAACTTACATATCTGCTATATGTATATGGGCAAATAAAGTAACAGAAAATGGCATTTCAGTTCCATATGTAATTTCAAAACAAATCTCTCACCATTAGAATCTTAAATTGGCAACTTTTTTGACTAGCTTGAATCCTTGGCAGGGATTTAAGTTGTACAGCAGATTATTTTAGTCCTTGTGATAAGGATGAGTTACAGTGGAATTATGTGTCTTTAAAATGCTTGGTTATTGTACTATACACTCAAGTTTGTACCTGTAGGGGGAAATAAAACTATCCTTCTAACAGTTTCATCTCTTCTTCCTTTTTGGCCTGTATAACCATCCATTCCAAATATACATTTGTCAAGAAATTGTCCTAAAAAAATCCCTTGGTCTAGATTGGCATGTTGCTAAATGGGATGATCCTGAGGCATCTTTTTCCCATTGAAGCCAGTTACAAGAAATATGTTTGGCAAATATACATAGATGTCTAGTTAAACTGATTACTTAGAAGCAGAAAAGCACACATCTGAGTTGCATGAGGAAAATAATACATGAGCTGAAGCCTGGTTTAGAATAGAACAGAATAACAAGTGATGGGACCTTGGAAGTCTTCTAGTCCAACACTCTTTGATTAGCTTCTCTCTTTGATTAGCTTCCATCTGTTGCTTCTTGTCCTGCCTTCAGATGCTTTGGAGAATAGCTTGACTCCCTCTTTGTGGCAATCCCTGAGCTATTGGGACACTGCTATTATGTCACCCCTAGTCCTTCTCTTCATTAAACTAGACATACCATATTCCAGCAACTGTTCTTTATATGTTTTAGCCTCAAGTCCCCTAATCTTTTATTAACACTTCACGTGATCGTGATTCTATCCCTCTTAATTCAGCCTAGAACTGTTGGTTTTTTTGGCAGCTGCAGCACACTGCTGGCTCATATTAAATGATTGTCTACTACACAGGTGTCAAACTTGCCACATCACATGATGTGTCGTGACTTATCGTGACTTTTTTTGCATTGCCGGAGCTGTCAAGATATCTTAAGCTATTCCTGCCAGCTTGGTGTGGTATGCAAATTTGATGAATTCCCCATCTATCCCCTCATTCAAACTGTTGATATGTCGAAGGGTACTGGGCCTAAAACAGCCTGGGGGACCCCACTGCATACTTCCCTCCATGTAGATGTAGTTCCATTGAGGACTACACGTTGAGTGCGGTTGATCAGCCAGTTACGAATCCATCTGGTGGTGAGGCTGTTTAACCCACATTTTTCTATCTTATCAAGTAGTAGGTTGTGGCCTACTTTATCAAATGCCTTACTGAAGTCCAAGTACATTATATCCACAGCATTCCTCTGGTCCACTAATTTTGTCACTTTGTCAAAGAATGCAATAAGATTTGTCTGGCATGATCTATTTTTGACAAACCCATGTTGGCTTTTGGTTATGACTTTGTTTGCCTCTAGGTTTGAAAAGCTTGTCTAATGCCAATAAACACTGAACTCAACATACCAAGCTATTTCAGGTGAAATGAAAAAAGTAATCTTAGAAATGTTAGATATCCAATATGGTTGTAATTCAGTTTTGCTAAGTTTCCACTGCATGTAGCAGAATTTGGTTTAAAAATCAAATTTCTGTTCTTTTTTTAAAAGCAAAGATTGCTGATACTTTGTAAAAGGTATGGTGTCTTCTTTAGCACTATCATGCCACCAAGTACAATACAAAGTATAGTTTAGCTCTGTACATCAGAATTGCTGCTGATTGGCTGGATGAATTAACGCAACTTGCAAAGAGAATGACTTAGTGCAGTGATGGCGAACCTTTTAGAGACCGAGTGCCCAAACTGCAACCCAAAACCCACTTATTTATCGCCGGGCGCCAGGTGGGTGTGATGGTAATGGCAGACTTGGTGGGTGTGGCCAAGGTGGGCATGGTCACCTTGCTGTTGCTCGCAGGGAGGGACGCCTGTGAAGGCTGGGCAGGGTTGGGGGAGATCCAGGGGATCTCTGGCAGGTGGGGCGGTGGGCAGGAGGCTCGTCCTGCAGAGTGAGGTGAGGCAGGGCAGGGGTGCCATTGTCGCAGGGCAAGGTGAGGCAGGGGAGCTGCTGCCCGACACCATCGGCCCCCGCACATAGAGGCCAGTGAGCACATGGGGGCGATAGTGTCCGTCAGCAGCCACAGCCTGCCGGCCCCTCGACTGGCACACTCTGGGGTTCCGCAGCCCACCGCCAGCAGTTCAGAGAAGCTGCCTCTGAGCTGGATAGCTGGCCGACAGCTGAGGGGGCAATGCAGTGGGTCGTGCCCGGGAAAAGGAAAGCAAGGCCAGGAGGGATGGGACGGGGGGGGGGAGGAAACCAGCTGTGCTGGGATGCATCCAGCCACGTGGGACCTCAGCAAGTTACCGGGCGGTTGGTTGAAGAGGAACGGTTGCCATCTCTGGGGCACGGCATGTGTGCCCACAGAGAGGGCTTTGAATGCCACCTCTGGCATGCGTGCCATAGGTTCGCCACCATTGACTTAGTGTATAGTAATAGTTAAGGAATTAGACATCAGAGTCAATCTCTTACTGCAGAACATTAAAAAAGCTGAGATCCCCTCTTGATGCCCATGTATATTTATAGGAAAGATGGATACATTTAATAGTCCTAATTTGCAGATGCAACTCAATAAGTAACTGTTTCTTCACCAGTGCAGAAAGTAGTATGCTTTCTTCATAAACATGAATTTCAAGTTTGGTCTTATTTTAAAAGGAGAGTTAGAAAAATTCTAAGCCAGATGCCTCTTTAAGTAATATTTTATTATAGAACAGGCAAGTGTTTTTTTAAAAAAAGGAGCTACAAAAAAAATCTGCACAAATTTAGAAACCATAAAATGTCCATTTTGAACAGCAAAATTAAAATTCTTCAAGAAACAAAATATTTTCTTATTTCTTGAAAATAAGATGAAGCTTGTAACATAAACTCAGTACATTTCAAAACATCAAAAAGTCTACAAAACAATAGCAATTATTTTCTATTACTATTCAAGATTATATATTCTAAATAGGAGAGGGAAATTAACATCTAACCAAAGCAGAACTCCCCACCCCTGTGTGGTTATAAATTTAATTTGGCATGTTTTTCACACATTGCCACTAAGTAGTGCATTTACCTTAATAACAAGGAGTGCCACTCAGCCAAATTACATAGTCTGCAAGATCATAACTTTCAACGGGCAATGTTTAAATGCGTGCTTTACATTTCCATGAATACTGCCAGAATTTTTAACCTGCATTTATTTGTTCTTCATTTTTGCCTTAACCAAAAGAATTCATTTTTTTAAAAAAATCCCAAAATGTGTAGAAGTAATGTCATTCACAGAAGAAGCAGAAATGAAGTGTATGAAAAGAACATTTGTAGAAAATGAACTGATTTTGCAATTTGCATATACAACTAGCGTTAGATATAGCTAAAGGTTTCTCTTGGGACAGCTGAACATGAAATTCAATATAAGTTAAAACAAGCCTTTTTTTTAATCTTTTAGAAAACATAAACTCCTGCACCCGGTACACACTTCCAAGGGATTCAAAACAACATACTGAAGGAATTTATGCAGTTCTATGGTTTCCACAGCTTCAACAACCCATCTTCACTATAGGTACCAATCAAATTTTGGTGGGGATGGTGAGCAATACCAATGACATCCTTTTCATGAACCTTAACATCAGAAAGGAAGAAGAAACAAGATTATCTCCAGAATATAACATCAAATGAGGTATTTTCTATACATACCTTTCTTTATCATAAAAGAAAAACAAACTTCTAGAAAATAATCAAGAAAAAAAGTGTTTTCTGGAAGAATAGATTCTGAAACTAATAGACCGAGCTTAGACAGCAAAATTTACTGCTTTAATAATAAACAACAATCTGACTACTTGTTTCTTGTGGTTTGGATACCCCTATTAGTTTTCCTACAGGAAAAGCAGAAAAATTAAATTTTGACTTTGTGATTGCGGATTACATCTGATTTGATTAGAGAAACATAGTGGATTGTTAAATACATGGTTATGATTTACTTACAGTCAATGGGTTATTGCACGTGAGATTAAAGTTAAACTATAGGCCTAAATCCTAAATAAGTCCTGAAAAGACACCACAAAGCAGGCTCCCAGACACTCCCCATATCTGAAGACATCAATGGTCAGCAATGTTAGCCGGCCAAGGGATTCTGAAGTTGAAGCCTACACATCTGGTGGATATTTGGGTTGGAGAAAAGTGGTGTGGCAGTCAGGAAACAGGAAGCAGAATTTTGTAAGCTTCACCAGTGATTTTTTGAGAAGAAAATCTGCTCTGCCAGAAGTAAGTGTAAACTGGGGAAATATTAGATTTGGTGGAAAAGCCTATAGGGCCAGGGAGCCAAACCTAGCCTCTACTGCATACAGCAAAAGTCCCCAAGCTTTTGGGCACCAGGGACTGGTGCCATGGAGAAAGGCTTTTCCGCGGACCAGAGGGGGTGTGGTTTTGAATACTGCCTGCATCCTGAGGATGGAGATTTGCTTGTTTGTGTGGCCCACTTGCTGGCATGCTGTGGACAGGTGCCGATCCGCGGATGGGGAATTGAGGACCCTTGGCATACAGAACTGCTGCTAGGTTGTTACCAAGACACCATCTGCTACCCACCGTCAGTGTTCTCTCCAGCTTCCCAGTCACTGTGCTGAAACAGTAGAGGACAAAATCTTCACCCACACAGTAGATCCACTCGCCTCGAGGAGAAAGGGCACAGCAGACAAAATCACCACCTTCTCTCTTACCAGAGCTGAAACTTCTCACAATCTACCAAGTTGAAATATTAACAAGAAAAAGGAAATCAGCAGCCAAGGTACAGTATTCCTTTCTTGTGACTATGCGCTTCCAAAGGACAGAGAGTGAAAATGTTAGGGAATTGCAATCTCTAAATGCAAAGTATTAGCAACAGCACAAGTAGCAAACAGATCCTCAGAGGTTAAAGGACGCTGATGGACAAAGAGACTGAGTTTTATCTCTCCAACTGGGTGGGTGAGCTGAAATGTATGTATTAAATCTTCACTGTACTTTTGATTCAATACATAGTACAAGTATTATGATGTGCATATTTCAAGCGTCGCTAGCTCCTTTCCTTTTGTCTTTGGAAATATGTTAAATACACCACAGGGAAATATCAGCTAACTTTACAGTATATAGGAGATGTGCTATAACTATGTTATTAGAGACATGTGTAAACCTTTATTTAAAATATATATATAATCTGTAAGCTGCCCAGAGTCGCCTTATAGGAGAGATGGGCTGCATAAAAA